TTCTTAACATAAATGGACCAGCTGTGATACTAGAGACAACACAGCGAAAGTTTCACGCACCAAGATTCGGTTTCCAAAGAAAAACAAACTTAGAAAACCTCACCCTATGGACAGTCGAAGGTAGGTCGCGCGGCGCCAAAGGCGGGGCATGACAAGAAGTCCGCCTTGGGGCGATTACGTATTAGGCGATCATTAAAGAATCGGATTAAAGTGTTCGATTTTATAGAATAGAGACAAAACGATCGATAGAATAGCATGCAGTAGAATTATGATGTTAGTGCAACAAGCAAAATGGTCAAAAAGAGTCTAATGACAGCACTGCGTGAACTAAGTGGAAGCTTTCCCGCCGCCGGCACTTGCGACAGATGTACGGCGGGAATTTGAACGCGTAGGAATCCTTCTAGTTTTCTAGATTTTTGAGCAAAACAAATGCATTTTTTGTTCTTTTGTGTTCTTTTCACTCTTACCATAAATTATGGATCTCAAGCCAATGATTTACGGGTGAGATAGAAGCATGATTTTTCCGGAAAGGATGCCATCAGGTATCATGCCTCTGTAGACTTGTTCTGTCATTTTGCGGTCAATAATCGTAGTAAGACCCCTTAAATTTAGTAAGGTAAAAATAGCTGATATTCTATTTTCTCTGAGCAACGGGAACGCCATGGTAAGGCCATACCGTGTGACGAAGAAAAAACAACGACCACTTCTTAGAACTGTTTTAGTTCCCTGCAGGCTGTTTCTAACCAGTCCGGTACCGCTGGATCTGCAAACAGCTAAAGGCGAAGTAATCTCAGGGTCGTAGGTTACCAAAGGAGACGGACAAGAGCGAGCCAGTTGATTGCCTGCACCTACAACTGCTGTAGCTCAGTTCAGCCGCTCAGCTTTCTGCACTTATTGACAAAGCTCGACGGATCAAGTAGCATATATTAGGCCTCAGCGGAACAAAGCGGAAGGAGTCCTTATCCTGCACGTGGATCGATGGGACATCGGCGTTACTAAGAGCTCGCAAGTCCAACTCAACATCAGGAGACGTTGGCTTCATAGTGTCACCGGAGTTCTCTGACATGTGCGAAGTGTTACCTTGCATGGTCATAGGCTCGCCATGCTAACCGCTTCGCTCTCGAAACATACGGATAGCGGCGATATAAGTCTACGCGCCTATAGCACAAAGTGATGAAGAGGAGCACGATGACTTCTATGAGCAACTGGAAGAGCTCACTTGCAGACAACTCAACTACGTCGTGGTGATGGGCGACTTCAACGCCCGTGTAGGATCAAGGATAGTTGGGGATGTCATTATCGGTCCACATTCAGCCTAGGAACGTAACTAAGCCGGGCAGAGTCTAGCAAATTTTCGGGCACTCCATAATCTCTATCACGGCAATAGTCAGTTCCTCAAACTGCCGAAAAGAGGATGGACTCATGTCACCCCGAATGGACAGCATTGTCATGAAATGGATCACGTCTTATGCAACCGTAGAATCATGACGGATGTTGCAGTTGTGCCTTCGTTCAATACAGGCAGCGATCATGGTCTGCTTGAGTACGATTTCATCTTGACCACAGCTTAGAGACTGCACCTGATGCGCATACGCTCCAGGTAGTCCACACCCACCGTGATAGACGTAGATGCTGCTAAATGATTGGTGACGTCAACGCTGATTACGATAGCCTCGTACAAACGGTAGCAAGAATCGGAGAAAGCTATCACAGTACCGCTTCGAACTATAACGCTTGTCGTATCACAGCAGCTACTCGTAATCCCTCCAGAAACATAGGGACATGGACTGACAAAAAAATCACATGGAGTACACTCCTTGTGTTGGAGTCGGTTGTGTAAAGGATTGCTCAAGACCATGCCAACTTCGGAAGGTCAAGACTCGGGACAGGGACAAAGGGGGAAAGAGACAGTGCCCGAAGAGAGCCAGAAAAGAGATGGCTGAACACCGCTTAAAGGAATCTTCCACGGAAAAAGCTCCGCCCCCCATTACCACAGAAAACGATACCTTAAAGGAATCTTCCACGGAAAGAGTGATCATTTTGTCTTGTGTGTAGGATCAGTATTACCGAAAGTAACGCTTATGTTCCGTTCTTTTTGCTATGCTCATGAGGCTAGGGGCCTAAGGGGTGTCGATTTTCTGAGGTAGTGGAGGCGGAGCTTTCTCCGCGGAAGATCCTTCAAGGATTCCGTGTCCACAAGCAATGGAAAAGAAGTTGGGACCGGCGCAAAGTCAACCGCCGTGCTGATCAACGAGTCGTCTAGGTATCTAAGTAAGTAAATTTCTGGCGGCTCCCTCTATCTTCTGCACAAATTTAGAAATATTTAGAAATATTTTGCATTATCCAAAGATGCTATAGCTCTAGAACGACTATTCTATCTTTTAAATTCTTGGATACAACATGCTTCACAAGCAAAGCCGCACGATTTTTTTTTCAACTCGAATCAGGGCAGGATCGTGCGGAATCAGGATATGGACTACTCATTAGACCTCGAACTTGCGAAAAAATGTGCTGTGCAGCGATGATTCGAGGATCTTATTCAGGGATGGCGAGAGCCTCGAAGGGGGTGGGGGGGGGTGGGTGGCCGTTGAATATCAACGTTTGACAAATTAGCTGGAAATTTGGTAGCCAAATGTGCTCAGAACTGTTGAGAAGGCGTCTACTGAACTGCGTAAGTGATATGTGGTTTCTAGTCACATGGAGTAGGTTGGAAAGTCAGGAAGGTTCGATAAGGGATGCCTAAATCCGCGAAGCCAGAGAGCCGTTTGCCCTTCTACTAAATTCCTTCATAAAATGGAAACGAACCGCCTTCCATTCGGATTGTGAAGTGCAACGCGAAATGACTTTTTTCGCAACCTGTGGACCTCGACTGAGTAGTCTGATCACCTCTAGTGTCTACAAAGGTAAGGGAAGCTGCACGAGGATAAAGTTGTATTGCTTTTATACGCGGTCTGCGGTAAGCACAGCTCTATGAACCCAAGCGGAACTATCGCAGTGGAGCAGTGTTCTTAGAAAAATGTCAGAATACCTCGAACCGTCGTGACACATGCGCCCAGCAAATGCCGCCATAAATGTACCGGCTTTTTTCCGTTGTATACTTCGGACGCCTATCGAAAAAAACCTTTCGAAGATCAATGAGTAGAGGTATTGCACTAAGCCACTAAGATCTTACGCACTGGACCTCTCAACTACTGCTACCTTATCAACCGTCCAGATGGCCCCTGTAAAAAGAAATGCTACCTAAGTTAACAGTTGGTAGTGAAAGGACCGAGTAGCGAGTTTATCGCCTAGAACCTAGAACTCCATCCAGCGGACAGTATGTTTCAACCCAATAAATGGTGAAAAGAAGAGTAGTTGCAATAGTTTTCGTTACGAAGGAAAAGTAGAGAGATGCAGAGATTCCACGGTCAAAAACGGCAAGAACCCTCCTTTCAACCTAATAATTACTTGTATCGCTTTCTTTGTAAAAAATTGATGTTAAATGACTCTAAATATTGGGCGGCAGAAGACATCAAAATCCATGCTTCGATAAAACAACTCTTGAAAAAGTTTTACTGATGAATTTGCGTGTTCGACAGGAGACCCGTCGCGCGGCAGGAAGGTATAGTCAGCGAACGAGTCGCAGCGCGTGGTGTGCAAAAGACGTACGACGCCGCGACTCGTCCGATGACCTACTTTTTTGCTGAGCGACGGGCCACCTGTCGGGTTCGATTGCAACTGTAAATTTTGCAAGATAATACGAAGGGATTCACATTGGCTGCAGTTGCCAATTGAACAGTGCGTTTGCGATAGTGAATCCCGTCTACATTAAGTTGTCCGGAAACTAATGCGCCTTGAGACCCTGCTTCTTCTGTGCAATGGCAACAAAATTTATAGGTAGGGATGCCCTCGAAACCGACAGGTGACCCGTCGTGTTGTTACATATAATAAGGAAGCACATTGCACTCAAGACCTCATCGCATATATGAATGGGCAATACTTGGATTTTTGACACACACTTAGCTTGGAAATGGGAGGCATCAAACTAGCAAATTGGCTCATTTCTAGCAGTTCCAGCTGGGTCAAGATGCGGCAAAAATAGCTTGAAACATAAATGTGGTACAAAGCCAGGGAACTGCTAGCGGTAGAACTGTCCAACACTGGTTCCAAACAAAAAGCTTCCCCGTGGCAAATTCGATCATCAGGATTAGGAAGGTCGCTTTTGTGATTCTGCGCTCGATTACTCCAATATAGCGGAGCTGATCAAAGAAAACACATATTGTTGCGCGAAAACTAGCAGACTAGGAGCGCCCCTAGGCACTGTATTGAAAATTGCTTGAAATTGCAAAAAAATATTCGAAAGGCCCTGAACGACGGCCCTAGTTGTTTGAAATGGGAGAGCAATGTACTGACTGTTGCTCGACGCCTCGCCTCACCCCACGCCCCCCTCCTTCTCCACCAGTGTGACGTCATCAAAGAGGGTCCCGCGCGCCGTTGGTAAGGCTACTCTTTCCTTGTGGTTGAAGCGCAGCTTTGGTCCCTGATTGTCACCATTGAACATATCTGTTCTACTTAAAAGTAAGCACCTTAACACTTCGGTCGAAAAATGTAATCGAAATTTGTATTACTTCTCACAGCTTTTGTTGGGACTGGTAATCGTGAAATCATACAGTTTCCAATAATCTAACGACTTCAAAATCGTGCACTTTTATGATATCCAGTGGCCACCAACTTTATTAATATACATACCAAAAATAACATTTCGATCACAACGAAGAATTGAGAAAACAGATCCTAGAAAACACACATCGCGACATCGATGTTGAGCATTCACATTTATTGCGAAAACAATAACGAATATTATCCACATCGGATACACAATTTGCAACACGGATTGACCCAAAAAGTGATTTGAAAAATTTCCAACGCCCCCTTCACCGCGAAATCAAGAAAATTACTACAGTAGTGAATGTAAATGAATATCCAACTCAAAAGAAGGATTCCAATATCGTAACATCTAGCTAGGGCTTCGCGTCCAACCCAGGATCTGAAATATGCATTTTTGAACTCTCTGAAACATCTGTTCGGCTACCGTATACTGAAGTGTGCAGCTGCATATTATCTCTGTGCAAAAAACCATAAAGTGTCGAAACTAGGTTGTTGCGATATCAATGTCGCACAGATTTACTTCCATCCCTCCAGGCAGCTTTTGGATCTCTAGAGATACTTGTGTATTCATTCGAATCAAAAGCATCGCACCTCTACTGTGAAGAAAGGATTTCGACATCTTGACGCGCTTTCAACGAAGCGACCAACTCAGACGCAAGTCCTAAGCGCCATCGAAACATTATGGAAAAGGGTAGGATTACGTTCGGTGTAAATAAGAGCTAGGAATATGGGCGAAAAATTCGTCAAGTTCGAAGAGAATTGGAGGAAGTTGCCCTAGTAGATAGTGCTTCAATGACTGATCCCTTACTTCTTACTTAGACCTTGTTAAGATTTCCGCGACTCCAGAAGTTTATTAACAAAGCGATGAATCAGGTCAATGTTATTCGTCAGGTTTAGATTGTTTTGTTGAATTTTAAGTTTCCTACAGTGATTTGAACATTACTTGGACACTAGTCATACTTGAGAATTTCTATTGAAGTGATTCTTTCATTCTTAGTTCTCTGTCCCATTCAAAACAAATATGCCACTTTAGTGAAGAAGGCCAGTCGCCAAAACATATCAAAATTTGAACAGATTCGATTCGGTTGAAAAAATTTCAGTCGAAAAAGAATTCCACTGAAGACTTTTGAGTGCTACTGTATGTGATTACTAAACAACCGTCGAAAACACTTTCACTGCTCGAAATCACAGAGCTTATGATCAGTTACACTGCCGAAAAAATAAAAAAAATAAAGCACTCGAAATGCTTTAATGCAATGGACAGAAGTTGGATCTTCAGAGTGTTCAAATTGGCTTTCACATAGTTTTCTCATAGTTGTGTACTATAATTCCAAAGAGAATAAGTTGCGCATCTGATGTTTTCACGATGCAGGCTTACCCTCGAATATACGCCTTTTCCTCCGAGACAGTCCAGACCTTGCTGGAGCGTACATGCGATCTTCGCTGTTACGTTTAAAGCAACAGTCCCAGCAGGGTCTGCTGCTTTCAATACTATTGCGATTGAAGGATTTACTAGCCCTAACGGAGAACATATGAAGTGTAACTGTAGAAGGAACTCACCTAGGAAAGCCGCAAAAAGGGCGTAAAACTCGCTAAGCATAGGTGTGGTTGGCAATTCTTCGGGAACGCCCACTTGTTAGCCGTGATTGGCGGCGGAGGCTTTCTTAACATTTTGGGACCACACGGACTATTTCTACTCCGTTCTCTAAAGCAGTCGGTGTGGTGTTGCAGCTTTTTTGACCTTTCCCCCGCGGGGAAGGCAGTTTTCGAATGATCGCTATATCTGCCGAATTACGTTTCAGGAGCATGATTCGTTCGACGTATTGGCAGGTTCAGGCAACTCGAATACGCGTCTTCCTCCATTGCTGAGTAACAGAGGGGGAGTCCCTGTCTAAGTCCCTCTTCGACGTTTTTCGTCAATTTTTTTCTTTACTGTCGGTTAACTTTCAACCCAAATCTACATTATCAACGATTTTTACCCCACGAATTTGGTCTGGGACTATTGCTTCAAACACGGACGTAACGTCTCAGAATGCCATGGCGACACAAAGTAACCAGTTTTGCATCATGTTGTGGTGGTTCCACTTCCTTCGAAAAACGCACAACGCTTAGCTTCACTAGGAAGCAGACATGGTAGCCAGTCACACTGTGTACAGAAAAGAAAAAAAATGATGAGATTTGGAAGAGATGGTTTGGACAGCACGCGTTAACGTTTGCCATGATTTATCCTTCCTTTAGCTAGGATTTGCTTTTTCATTGCCGCAACACATCTTTTGGTCAACTTCAATAATTTTAACTCCGTTTACCTTCAATACATAAAATTTGTTGAAATGATCTTGTGCAGCTTATGCGTTTTGCATTGTTCAGAATTTGAGGGGGCCAATCTAGCATGATCACGAAGGTCCCACACCGCCAAAAGAGCCAAAATGCTCTGTCGTCAACAAGTTGACTAATTCATTCTTGAAATTTTTAGGAGCACACGGCGGACTGTAATCGACAACGAAGAGTATCAGAGAGAAGCCACTCTAAAAAGATTCATCAAAGAATGTAAAAAAAAAGTACCGATTATCCGTTTCCCTGCAGGTTTCTGAAGACCAGGTGGCGGAACAGCGCTTAGAAGAGGCATTTCTGGAGGAGGACTTCGACCAGCATTAGATCCACCGGAAGAGTGACAGACATGAACAACTTTATTACGGTGGTGGCCTGTGGTTTCCATTTCATATCTGAAATTATTTCTTTAAAGTGAGGGAAGTAATTGTGTGCGAAGTATAGGATCCTCATGAGTTTTGAGACTGGGTCAAAAATGCAAAATTTATTGGTTGGAATAATCAAAAACAAACATCGATCGAAGTATGCTCCGTAGGAATCAACAGTGAAAACAATTTTGTCACCCATCCGGCAGCAAATCATGCTTTGCCGATGAAATTCTACGTTTTTGGAGCGAGACCAAGCTGCCTCCTCGAAATGCTCAATGTCGCAAAGCGCAAATGTTTAAACCGGTGTTGCCATAACGGAAAATGGCAAAACATCGACCTTTTGCGCGATTTCTGCTTCAAACAGCCGTAAAAGCGTCGTAATCCAATTCAAACACGCAAATCAGCAAGTTGCTAGTAATCATTGTTGCCAACGCCATATGGTGACGGACAACTTGTAGCAAAGATTAGCAAGAAAATTCTGCACAAAATGAAACAGAAAACGAAAAATTTTGTACCAATGCTTAACATTTTTTGAAATAGTCTCGAAACTTTTCGAGACTGTTTCGCAAGGCGAACTGCGGCCAAAAACAGCAGTTAACAAACAAAAAACAAGTCTCGAAACTATTTGGAAGACCTACAATAGTGCTCACAAAATATGAAAAATCGACGCCGACTGAAAGATTAGACCCTCACAAACTGTCGCAACGCCACAACTTCGTTAAAAATTGATGGAACGAAAAGATTAAAACAGTGGGATAGGTCCCTCCACGATGGGTGCGAGGATGTGTCATATGTCAAGATTCGTTAGCTAGGTCATCAGCTTGACCTTGTAAGCTGGGTTGAAATTGACTTTTGACCTCAAGGTAGGACATCGGTCGGTGGAATGTCATGTCTATGTGCATAGAAGATTATCGCCCACGAATGAAATGATGCTTTTTCGAACATGTCATATTGTTCCGTATAACATACAGCATAATTATTGGGAGAGCGTCTCTTCGAGTAATACAAGATGCACTAGTTCCACTTCTAAAAAGATGTACACGGACAGAGAGTGTAAAAATACCGTGGCAGTTCATACCGTCGTACTCAACATGGATATTGCTACCGGATAATATATCTTGTTTCTCGATAATTGCTTGATTTTCTTCTCATTTACGCTCTGTATTCTTTTTATGATGGCTAGCCACTGCGACTGATCGCTCGTTACCTCGCCTGTGGTAACGAGCGATCAGTCGCAGCCAATTAGCCTGTGCTCTGCATTGGTCTGAGGTTGACGCCTCACGCTGAGATCACCTCTCTTCAAAACATTCTAGCTCAAATTGCTAAGCCTTGGTATTCAGAATCCTAGCCGAGCTAATCAAATGCTCGCTTTGCATGAAAAAGCTGCCAGAACGGTGCAGGAGAACATCGTTCATTACAAATCAATGTTTGCAAACGCTAAGAGTGGCAGAGGATTCGAACCCCTCTGCCCCTAGCGCGTGCGAGCTAACATGCAAGCTAACAGCGATCGTTCGGTCTGCGTCACTAGTTCAATTTGAGGGGTTGTTGTACTACTAACTCGACTGGCGACATAGTCATTTTGCTTTACGGTTTGCGAAGCAGTCGGATCCAAAAGTCCAAAAACCTTATTGACACGTTAACGACGTCGTGCGATTCAGCTTTTTTGGCCGCGTGGGACCGGCACGATTTTGCAGGCGCCTTCGTATCACCACATAACCGTGTATGTTGAGCTGTGAACATGTACGACTTGCATGTGACAGAATGTTTCCATTGAGGTTCAATGTGTTCAACTCTTCGGGAGTTACAATAATGGATGTTCGACCAAAATGACGTGTTATGGCTGTGAGAAGGCAAATTTTGCTTACTTCTTTTTGCTCCAGTGGCCCCGAAATTACTTCGAACGTGGCGTGGCTATTTCAATAAAACATACCTTACCGTACGAATGGGTTTGTAGTCACTTCTACAACTCTTTTTCATCGTTTTCACGTTGATGAAAAGGAAATGAGGAGTGAACTAAACAGATATTTTTGTAAGGTCCGGAGAACCTCCGCCAAACTAAATAATATTTGGCAGTTCTTTGAGTCACGTGGTATTGGTTGCATCAGCTATAGAAGAACCCAAAAAAAACTAGGGAAGAAGTCGGACATGCGCAAAAATGTGGCAGGTGTGGCACACATAGATGCCACAACGTCCGACGGAGTGAAAGTGGTTGCATACATAGTTGCCGCGACGTCGCCAAGGTGTTAAACGAGATGTGTACTTATTAATTGAAAGCAATTCAATTTTTTCACAGAACTCATCTGACCTATTCATCCGACAAGTCATTTTCGCAAAATCCTCTCTGATTTGACATTGGTTTCACTTCTTTTAGCGCTTTTCTGCGGCGCCTCATGCCATATGTCTACTTGCAGATGATCAGGATAAAGACTCTTCTCTACCTCCAGTACCCTAAACTAATAGAACTGGAGAGCCGAATATTAAGGGGCGTAGATTTGATCTAGAACAAATGGTACATTATTGAGCAGATTTATCATGCTGGGTACGATGGTATGAACTGTGACGATATTTTTAATTCTCTGTCCATGTATCTTTTTTCGAAGGTGGAAGTACTGCTTCTTGTATTATTCGAGGAAACGCTCTTCCATAAGTAGCTATGCTATTATACGGAACAACATGACATGTTCGAAAAAGCATCATTTCATTCCTCGTTCTTTCGCCTCAATAAAGCCTATTTTTAGAAGGGGAAAGAAGCGATCTCTTATGGAAGACACACTGCCCTGTATTCAAGTGATCAACAAAATTTTTGCAGAGATCCATACGTGGTTTGAGAAGTACTAGCCGCTTCGCCGTCATTTCTCCAGAATTCGATGAAAAATGCTTCCGAAAATCAGAAATGTCGTAAAAAAAACTCCCTCGCACCGAGATAGGCTATGGAACATGGATGAAAACACGTAAAAAAAAAGAGGTGCTGGAAACGATAATCTGCTATGCGCATATATTAGGTTGTCTCATAAACAGTGTCGCTTTTTTTCAACCAAAAAATTTCCATCTAAATCCCCATGCTTTTAAAGCGACTCATATACCGTTCGAAAGAGAATTGTCTGCTCTACAAGATGTGATGTTCTTCTTCTACCTTTGTGTCAAGGTTATCAAGTTTTAGGCCTGCGAAGTGGGAGGTAGAGCCGACAAAAATTGACCAAACCGACAACTATCTCAAACTTTATCTTCCCTTGAGAGAAATCAATCAATACTGTACCCTCTACTTATGCATAACCTCTCCTTAATATTACATTATTAGATTTCCCTACAAGTCGCGTCATTCCATTTTCAGACCTGGTTTTTCAACCAAAACTCGGCGGTCAAGCACCGTTACCTGAGATCGAGGTCGAAGTTTTTTTACAGCCGAGACATTGAAAAACTAGTAGAATTCAAAGAACAAGTCATGAACAAGTTAGGAACGTACGCCTGGTTGATTTTCTCATCTCCTCAAGGATAATTTTTTTCAAAGAAATGCGGTCACTTCGTGGATAAAGCACCTTACTCCTAAACACCTAAAATTCGAGCTAATTCCTAGCAAGCATCGAAACAAAACAAAAGAGCGAATAGAGCAGAAGAAGTGCTCACAAAAGACGCACCAGTTGATATAAAACAATAGTGTTTCAGATGAAGAATTTCAATTTGAAAATTGCCATGGCTTATCGGTTGGCCATTTCGAAAAGAAACAGGGCAAACCATTTTCGGCAATCTAAGGGTGGAATGTTCAGAAGAGGTCATGAGTAGGTAGAGGGTACATCAATGATTGATTTCCCCGCAGGGAAAATAAAGTTAGAGCTAGTTGTCGGTTTGGTGAATTTTTGTCGGCGGGTTCTCCCATTTCGCAGGCCTCAAATTTGAAAACCTTGGATCATAGACGGAAGAAGAACACAACATCTTGTAGAGCAGACAATTCTCTTTCGAACGGTGTATTACTCGATGTAAAAGCATGGGAATTCAGAAGAAAAATTTTTGATTGAAAAAAAGCGACACTATTTATGAGACAACCTAATACATGACATTCCACCGACCGATGTCCTACTTTGAGGTCAGAAGTGAATATCAACCCAGCTTACAAGGTCAAGCTGATGACCTAGTTAACAAATCTTGTCATATGACAGCCTCGAATCGTCATAGAGGGGCCTATCCCGAGAGTTTGAATCTTTTCGTTTCATTCATTTTCAACATATGTAATTATGGCGGAGTTACGCTTTGCGATGGGCTAATCGGCGTCGATTTATCACATTCTGTGAGCAGTATTGTAGCTTTCGAAATATTCCTTTCGAAGTATTATAAGAATTTCAACAAGCCATGCTCACAAAAACAAACATTCTTACAAGTTACTGTCTTGCGTCTCTTCAAAAACTTCCACGATCATAAACGAAACAGGATCACAACTTACTCAGTGGAAGGGAGAAAAGAACGAGGGTACGTATGATCCATCGGACCATATTGCAGAGACGTGTCACTCGATCTTCCATCCCAAAGTAGCCGCCCATGACTCCGAGAACGAACCCGGCGATGAGAGGATTCCTTTAATGATCGGGATGAAAGAGCACAAAATTTAATCCTCACCATCAAGCGATCACATCGCAAAACAAAGTGTATTTTTAACGACGGCAGCATGCCAAGACCAGTAAGATTCGAGAAAAGCAGATCCAATTAGATTAACACAGCCAGCGCTCAGCCATAGACCGATAATTTTTCCGAAACGCAAATGATCTAAAGTAGCGCTCAAAATTATGCAGCAAAGCAATTTTTCGGACTTGGCTTCTCCTTTCTAGTAAATTACATCAAACAAAATTTTCGATATGTTCTGCTTAACATTCCAACTATTGTGTTACGTTGCAGTGCAAATGTTGCTTTCACTCCACAAGGTGCATTTGAATCTCCAGTGGTAGTGTTCACTCGAAACAGGACATCTAGAACGACGACAAACCGAAATTTGTGAGTGTTCACAAGAATGTTCTATGAGATCTTGAGGAGCTGACTGCAGCTCACACAGTGAGAAGACACCTTCTTCAAACCGTGCAGTGACTTGGCAAGAAATGAATTTAACGTTGGCAGAACCTGTTCACACGAGGGCCAAGGTGTACATCACAGAAAATTCATTTACAGGAATTGCGAGATTGGACTGAAGTCATTTGAGTTACTCGTGGAACTGCTCCTCTCACACTCCATCTACACTCCTTTGCAAAAGCTATACATAGGACATACCCTGAATTTTGGATTTCTGGAATTGCGAGAAACCGGGCTCAAAAGTGGCTTATACCATTCGATTCAGCGAACAAAGGAACCTACACAATAGAATTTCAAAGCAGTATTATCTAATTCTAGAAGTCCAGACTCAAACTGTTGAAAAAAACAGCCGTTGCAAAAATATACGATATAGCAGGAACTTCTGCAATTTTTTTACTTCGGTGGAATTTTTCCACAACACTTTATAATCGTAACAATATGGTGTTGTAGATAGCTAGTCCACGAATTCGCCATGAACGCTCTCACCTTGAGGAGCCGATCCAATTTGTTATCTACCAATGTTTGCAAGCCCCTTCCTGGATCCGTGAGTAATCTTTGAATAGCTCTTTTCGCAGGCGATGCACAAAATTGTACCGATTGCTCTAGGAATAAGGACTACAAGCAAGGATGCCCTATAGTTTCCCGCCACATTCAGGCCTGACTAAGAAGTGGACCATTCGAGTAAATCCACATGGTAGGCTTTAAAGCAAGTCAAAGTCGACTCAATAACATGGATAGCAGCATTGAACTGCTGAAATAAATTGCGATGATGACGGTTTTGCATCGTAGACCGTAGCCGCTGTGATCAAAGTATATCATGGTCGGTGAATCTTTCAACTTGTCGTACAGATTGTACTTCATGGCTTATCACCTAAAAGCCGAGCAACATATTTGGTGTATGATGTTACAGGTAGTTCTTTCCGTCGGGAAGGTGTTCTTCCTAACTAGTTCAATGCATGGCACTAGTTCAAATATGACTCAAGCAGAAATCCTCTTCCTCAATCTAATAACAAGAGCTACAGCATTCTTCTCGAAAAGGAGCTTGGCAGTGAGACTGCCCAGCCTACAGCCGTTGTGGCAAGCTAGAAGTGGTCTTCACGGTTCACCAAATAAACTCCACCGGTTACGAATAAGTGCTAAATCATCGCTTAGTATGTCTACGACGCAGAATAGTTATCACCGGTGTATGTTTCAGTAGTACAACACTGTTATCCATGACACTAAGTCAACGTTGACTTGTTTTGAAGCTTACCATGTAGATTCACTCGAATGGTTCACTTCTTAGTCAGGTCTGTATCCGGTGGGAAACCTACGGGCATCCGTGGTTGTAGTCATTATTCCTAGAGTAATCGGTACGATTTTGTGCATCGCCTGCGAAAGGAGCTATTCCAAGATTACTCACGGATCCAGGAAGAGGCTTGCAAACATGGGTAGAAAACAAGTTGGATCAGCCCCTCAAGGTGAGAGCGCTCATGGCGAATTCGAAGACTCTATCTACAACACCGTACTGTTACAACTATAAAGTGCTGTGGATAAATTCTACCGAAGTAAAAAAAATCCGAGATTCCTGACATATCGTGTAGTTTTGCAACGGCCGTTTCTTCAACATTTGAGCCTAGAATTCTTGAAGCAGATGAACTGCTTGGAAATTCTACTGTGTTTCTTTGTACGGTTTCTTTATACATTGAATCGATTGGTATAAGTCACTTTTAGGCCCGGTTTCTCTCAACGCCAGAAATCCAAAATTTAGGGCATGTTGTATAGTTCTGCAAGGGGGTGTATGCTCAGTGCTGCTTGTCGGAGTCAACGATGCATGTTATGAAGGAGCAATATTCTCGAGACTGCAAAAATTCCGACCCATGGAATCCAAATTTGCCAGCGTGCAACTGATTAAATTCTTTGAAAAGAACGTGGAGTACATTCCATGGTCGGTCTTCTTGGAACCTGGGCATGTTTGTATATTCCGTGTTGTTGTTGCTATGCCATACAGGTTGTTACGGTGGAATAGATTTATTCGATCGACGTTTCGAACAATTCGTCGTCTTCAGAACCTGAAGTTGGTTCGTAGTTCTTAGCTCGTAATCAATCCGGTCAAATCCCTCGTCATATTTCTCAGGATACAAATAGAGAAGGATTTCAACGAGGAACTGACCTTACTTCTACTCCACTAGCGCCACGCAGCCAGTCAATCCTCAATAGATATGAAAAAATGAGACAGCCTTTCATATCTATTGAGGATTGACTGGCTGCGTGGCGCTGGTGGAGTAGTAGTAAGGTTAGTTCTTCGTCGAAATCTTTCCCTATTTGTATCCTGAGAAATATGACGAGGGATTCGACCGGATTGATTACGAGCTAAGAACTACGAACCAACTTCAGGTCCTGAAGACGACGAATTGTTCGAAATGTCGACCGAATAAATCTATTCCACCGTAACAACCTGTACGGCATAGCAACAACAACACGGAATATACAGAACGTGGAGTTTTTCGAGGGAAATTGCGAAGCCTGATCGAATAAGCTAGGAACCGTCTCTTGCTCTAAGATGCCAAATTTACCTTTTACCAACAACTTCCATGTATATTCAAAAGCAAGATTTATATTGCAACAACCTAATATATAGTGGTGGTCCAAGTTTTGAGAACAAAAGAACGATATTGCCTCAACTTTACAAAGTAGACACAAAAGCAAGTGGGAAGTGCAAGTGTAAGGTGATCCCCAAAACGCAAAAATCTCTTTTGTGAAATAGTATTTTTTGAAAATCGCGTGAAAAAGTTTGAAACACTCCACTCCCTCTATAATTATGATTTCTACTCCTTAAAGCTTGCTCGTTTTTGTTTGTTCAGCTTATTATTCAGTATTTTGTGTATTTGCATAAATTCACTTATAAAGATTCACTACCTTCACGGGTGGGGGGGGGGGTGTTACAACGCAAGAAAGCAGTTCAGCCTAAACGAGGGCACCACTACCAAAGATTTCTAGCGTCTCAAGGCCGAGGTAGCGTAAAGAACGTCTAGTTCCCAAAAAAAAAGCTTCAAGAGAGAAATGGCTTTTTCTCGGGAATTCAGATAGTGTTCAGCTTGTCTTTCAACATTCTCGACGTAGAAGCAACTTTTTCAAGTTTCGCTTTCAACTGAATGGAAATGAAAGCGCACGATTTGTCGGTTGCATGTGAAAACTTCTTTTAAAGTATCCGACAGAAGGTTCGTCACACTGCGAGAAGGCAGAGGCGGAGCAGCAGACGAATCGCAGCACGTACTGAGCGATTAGCGTCTAGGTAAAAAGAATGTACCATAGTATGTCCCACATCGCGCAATGTGACTCGTCCACTAACCCGTGTGTGTTTCTCGCTGCGCGTCGAGCGTCCTGTCGGGTACCCACTGCTTATTTTGATTTATACCTCCGGTACTCCCTGATATAAATACCATTTTGAATTATCTCATACATTCTGCAGGGGCAGTGATCTCCGCCCAACCGGATCCAGACTCATTACTGATGTAATTATTATACTTTAGCATTTTAATGTTACTGACGTTATTTGGCTATTAGGCTATTTGCTATTACTGCTAAGAGTGCTATTTTCACGTAATGTGTGGTCAATCTGTTAAGCGATCATTCTGTTCGAAAATGAAAACTTCTCACTTTTCGCTTTTCCCTATCGCTCGGAGAATTGCTGAGTTGAGCCCGAGTTGATTTCCGTGCGCGAGTAGAAGTCTTTTTAGCATGCGTTGGGAATGCATTGTAGAGCAAGCCTTCTTCAGGAGTTGATGTGCTGAATAAATCTTTGAGAATACAATTCATTAACTAACCAAACGTGATCGCAAATTGCATTCCAGGAACTGAACATGAGCAAAATATCATTTGGAAAAGTTCGTACCGATTACTACTCATCGGGCGAGGAGGTTCTTCCCACAAAGAAGTAGGAGAAGGCGCAGCATTTCGCTCAAGATTCGTTAGAAAGTCATAGCCATGTGTCGGTGAAGGAATAGGTTGCATCTATTTCGAGAATCATTTCAGAGGAAATCGTCCGTTGAAAATGCACACCTGCACATACCTGACTCGTTTGAATCATATCCAATTTATGCTTCAACTCCAGAACTTCGTTGAACCGCCTTGTTTCCAATTTCAGATGTTCGTTACGCATACGTTTCAACTCGAATTCCAACTAGAACGGAAATATGAAAGAGTAAAATATCCTTGCCATATAAGAAAAGGTCAAAAAGACTCGCTAGTGAATGCACCACAAGAAACAGAAGAGCATAATTTTTTGACAATTTTAAAATTACTATGACGAGCATCAGAAAGTAATACTCTTCAACTTAGTTGTTCACCAAAACAAAACGCTTTCCATTTTTTCCCGTTCTTTCCGCAAAAGGTGTGCCTTGAAGGCAGCGATTACGATAAAGAGGAAGCGCAGTGGGAAAGCATGTGCGCCACATGAAGCAGTTACTCTGCTGCCAAGCAAGCGAGGTGTGGTGCTTCCACGACGAAAGGTGCTCTGGTTGCTGAGCAAGACTTCAAAAGCGCTCCGCCCTTAAAAGCGTTCCACCCACTAGTTTGGTTGGTGATTTGGACGAGTTGCGTTGCCAGCAGCGGCACTACTGGAGCTCGATTGGAGCGTGGTTCGGCATGGTGCCACCGAACGCCTTGCGGTGAACTCGTTCATACGTCCGACTTCGGAGCTGTTGCCTGTTCGTGAGTGGAAGCCAGCGGCCAAAAACAGAGGGATCCTTTTTGCGTTTTTCAGACGATTTCTCATCTTTTTCGCCACTGGCGTACCACTGAGCACCACCTCGTCACTGTGAACCTTCCTACAAAATGCTGTAATCGCTGCCATCAATCCACCGATTCATGAAAGAGATAGAGCATTGCATTTTCTGTTCACATTTCCATAAAAATGTGTGCAGCTGAAACAGAATTCTTCCCCATCCTACAAATACACGGCAAGTCATCAACCCCACCCTTCCAGAATGTAGCATATTCCGAACTACAAATGATTGGCCAGAACACTTCACAGAGCCTCTCTAAAGGCAAACGTCATGCAAATACAGAGTACGTTCGAAAAGTATAAAGGCATCCTGGACAAGAGAAGTTTGAGAGGAACCTTTTTCTTCCCACCAGTTCATCTGCGATTCTATAACCATGTTTGATGAAAGCACAATACTTTCCAGTAGATCCAAACAATCTGAGCTTTCTACCCTTGGAACACGTATAGACAAAGGCCAAGTGCTTCACAATTAGAAAACGTGTCCAATCTCCTGCCTGTATCAACAATTTTGATGAATTCAGCTTTTCCTGGTAATAACAGCATCTATGGGATGCCACAAGTTGCACTGTGAAGAATCTCATCAGCGATCGCGTCAGTCTACCACGGGGCCGTAAGCTTTCGCTTTCCGCATTAAGAATCACCAGCCAGAAAATTGTCAATTCGAGAAATTGTGATGAAGACCTCACGACTGGGTTTCGGCAGTTCGTTCTACAGCTAAGAATGTACCTACACTACAGCGACTAGTTCAGACTCCTTCGAGTTCAGGTTCTTTTCTGATGAGAATAAGATCGAGTAAGATGTGCCAGATGGACACCACAGCAGACGGAGAGATCCCAGAAAAGAGCCACTGGCTTTCAGAAGGCGAAGTTTTGGTGGCAGACCTATGGTCTGTCCTATTAGCACTGCTGTATTGCCTTTGGCTCCATCTTGTAGAGTGGACTCTGTCACAATTAGCGTCTTTGCTGATCACTTGCTTTCGTTCCTGAGTGAATATTGAAGGTAGATTTTCAGAACAGTTAACGACAACGCCGCCAACCTTTGCAGCCGATCCGCTAAATAGGAGATTAGCGTAGAGAAATCAATTATGGACTGTCGCGTGCAGTTTTGATCCAAATCCTTTGGAAACCATGTGGAAAACTCTCGAGAAGCAGTCTACTCTAAGGACTAACAGTAGAAGCAATTGGTGAAGACCTCAGGAATCTTAGGCCGACGTCATACTTTGCGACTCGATTAGCGAATCGCTGGCGAATCGCTAGCGAATCCAGCGAATCGCTAATCGAATCGCAAAGTATGACGTCGGCCTTATGGAAACGTCGTGGTGCCATCTGGATGCTGACCGACAGTAAACAAATGAAATCGTCCAGGCACACCGAACAGGGGGTGGATTTCTTGAACATGCCCACAGAATCTCAAATGAGTAGGATGCTTCACTATAAAAATTCTTGCCCAAGAAGCCTTTATACCTTTAGATGAGGGGTATTTGAAATTTTTTGTGAAAATGTTTGAGCGTCTTGAAATAAAGTGCATAATAGTCCAAGAGCATGCCGAATTAAATAACTAAAGTAAGCCATGATCTTCATCCCAACTCGGAAATGCATTTTCAGAGGAGCTGTCAAGCGCTTGAAACGCACTGTACCTCTACATTGTTTAATATCGGTAAAAAAAAGGACAGAGATAAGCCCAAAAAGCAAATGTTTCCACCACGTCCTCTCAGTGTGCCCTTCACTTCTACGAGCAGTTCTCAGAGAGGTAGGACAGCAAAACTAAAGAGCGAATTCAAAAGAGACGACAGAATATGAGTCTTTCACTGTACAGTGATGATGATCGGCACTAGCGGTTTCTGGGATGGAATCTAAATTTTAGCGGAGCTGTCGTGACGGAATATTAGAACTGTATTCACAAAACGAAGGCGCGAGGGTTTAGAAACGTTTAAATCTTCCACGGAAAATGGACCAGTGGGCGGGACCGGAAGTGGTTTTGCGACAAAATGCGTGGTAGGTACGGATCCATGTTCATGGGAAGGTTTGAAGTGAATTCTGCTCAAGTTCAAGCGTTCGACACGTGGATCCGTACCTACCATGGATTTCGTCACAAAAACTTCCGGTCCCGCCCACTGGTCCATGGTCCGTGGAAGATTCCTTTAACGAAGAGACGGTTATGCACTGTTACGAGAGGGTTGGAATTTCATTTTTCAACAACTTGTTCAAGAACTGAAAACCATTTGAGTGGAGACGAGCCATACATCCACGGTTTCTTTTTGATGAGCAAACAAAGATTGAAATAGCCCCAGCAGTCACGTAGTGTTTCCATAATATTTTGATACAACGCGGAGTGCGTTCAAATTCACCAAATGTTCTATTCGAATTGATTGCTTCAGCAACAATAACTCGAACGATTTTACATGGCCGTACGTGTTGAAGTCGGTTTCAAAATTGGAAACTACCCGCAAAATTATTGCCAGCATCAGTAAAAGTCTAGATCACTGATTGTTCTGAGATTGAAACAGTGACTTCACTCACATCAGAAATTTTCTCATCCTTCTTCCTCCTATCCTCCGCTCTGGCGGCCAGCTCGTTTTGCAGAATAGCAATATCGTCCCACAGCTTATCACGCAACTGAAAAAAATGTATCAAATGAGGTATCAATCTACTTGCTTATCTTCACCTCGACCCATAAACTTCTCAAATTTCAATCTGTTTGCAAGTGAGTATTCTCCACCCAAACAACATCTGAAGATTGAAAAACGTTAACATTATGTTATACATGTTAGTCGAAATTCACAAGAATGACCATTTCCCATAATAACGATTCCTCCGAACCATCGTCGAAAAAGATGTTTGCAATTCTAGAACCAATCACCTTATTGTTTACTTTACCCAATTTTCCCGGTCAAGCTGCTCTGAATCCAGAATCGAATTGTTTTTCCCCAGGAGGATATATCCCAGCTTCTGGTCACGGCCGTAAGCAAAAGCTCTTCTTCGGAGTCCGACTTCTCCGACCACCGAAATCAGAGAAGCAATGTGTGGGAATATATGCACACCCACTAATAGAGAAAATTTCTCACGAGTCTCACCTGCTCCGTTTCTTTCACTTTAGTATTGCTGTCTTTCACTAGTGCCAAGAGCTCGTTGCAACGTTCATCAGCACGACTTCGGTCGCGGTCGCGTTCCTCCACCTATACCGGAAAATGATGAGGAAGAACGCATCTTCTTCTTGGCACACAAAACTACCTCTCTGGTTCTTCGGTCCAACTCGTTTTGAAGCGACGTCAGTTTTGAGTCCGCTCGATTGCGCTCTTCTTTTTCATACTCAAGAGCGACACTGAAAAGTACATTTCAAGATTTGTTAAAATTGATATGTGACTATCTTGATATCCACTAAAAAAATATTATATTAGCTGGTAAATATTTCTGCAACAAACGAGTTCCCCCCAGGAGGCCCGACGCGCGGCAAAAAGGCAGAGTCGGCGGACGAGTTGCAGCACGCGGTGTGCGATGTAGGACGTGCAGTGGGACACTCTATCTAACTTGACGCGAAATCCCTACAGTACGCGCGCTACTCGTCCGCTGACTTTGCCTTCTTGCCGCGCGACGGGCCTCCTGGGGGGTACCCGCAACAAACTGACTGCATTGATTATAGATTTTTTCAGTGTTTCTTTTTTCATTCTTATAGTAGCATAATTCACCCATCATTATATACAGCAAGCTGCCAACGCGTTGGAAGCCTTCTGTAGAACTACATTGGCTCTGATCAAAGAAAATCGATGGGAAGGATAAATAATTCTCCAACAGCTGGTCTTGAAAGGGAAGCATGTAGGCATCCGATCGCACGAAGTGGTGGCTATAAAGCGGCGTGGAGAAACTCTTCGTTCGAGAGTCCCAAAAATTTTCCTAGATTTTCTTAGAAGTGGGGAAGGGGGTTCAACAGTGTCATAAGAAGGAGATGATGTGGTGCTTCTCTTCCATATTATAAGCGTTGTAATTGAGCTGTGGATGGCTGTCTCCCTCATGTCTGGCGCCATTTGCACGTAGGGGATTCCAAAGTCCAACCCTTCCCGCCTTTCACTGGAATTTCGGGAAGTTCTGTTCGAAAAAGGCTGAACTCTAGCAGTTAAAACTAACAAATTGTTGAAGCTAAGCTATCGCCGAATCATCTTCAAACAAAGTCAACGCTGAGCCAATTAGAGCACGGCTGCAGTGGGTAGGAGTGTCCTCGCCCATCTTCTGGTCAATCTCTCAAGTACCATGACTTACGGTAGTCCTAGGAGGTACTCGTTAGAAATACGAGGGCACGAAGAATTTCTAGCGGAATTCGGTGTAATGATTACAACACTACGTCAAAAAAAAACATGTTCCGGAATTTAGGGGATTCCCAAAAAATACTAGCATTAATTTAATTTGTTCCAAAAATGACAGAGAACCTGATACAAACTGATGGTTTAGTCAAGTTTATCAACCAATGCAATTGGAATATCTATGGATCAGAGAAAAAAGAATAGAACAAACCGCGCGGCTTCTAGTTCATGCTCAGTTTTTCTCAGTTGAATCCGTATCTTAGTCAGTTCACGAATATCAGGTGTAGGCGGTAGAGTGCTCAGAGGAGCAGCTACTTTTGCAGAAGTTGGGGTTCTTTCTCGTTCTTCGTCCACCGGCTCAACAATGTCGTCTCCAAAATCTGACCATCCACCCGAGCCACCTGATCCTGAGAAGACGAACTATTAGCTTGAATAAACACAAAATCAAGCAAATCTTCTGCAGTACCTTCCTTCCTTATCCTTTCCGCTTCTTCAATCATGGAAGACAGTGTTGCATTCTCTAGCTCCATGTTACTCTTCTCTGATGCTAGTTTTTTGATTTCTTCGTTGGCAAACTAAAATACGATTTCACGAGACTAAAAATTAAGGACAACGAATTGAAAATTGGAACCCCCTAACAAATTTGGAAAGAGAAAAAAAAACAAACAAGATGGGAAGAACAAGTAGTGAATGTAAAATTTGTCTGTAGAGTAACACCCGGGGAAATACTATCCCGTACCAACAACACGATTGAAAACTACGTCATTCTGGCTGGAATCGTCGTACGCGAGGGGTATGGTTTTTTCGCTCTGCTCAAAGATTCTAACCACATGGCACCCCACTTATCGTGACTTCAGTAAACTGCCAAGGAAATGTCTTCTTAACATGCACTGCAACGAAGTCTTATAAAGCATTTCGCGATGTGCTTAGCACTTCCACAAACTATTCCTAAATATTTAACACCCGTCAATCCCGCCATTGTTGATGTTGTCCAGGAAATGTATAAACATAACGAGATTGGGCCGGTCGCGCGTTTGAAAGACAACAGATGGACTTTCCGGCTCATGAGTTGGATAACTTTGAATCACCAACGATCGCCGGGAAGCTTAAAATGAGGTGGGCCGATCCGATGGTGAAAATGCTTGGCCAACAATGGAGACGACGTGCTCAAGACCGGAATGAATGGTTCGAAGTCGACATGCGTGAATGGCGAAGTTTGCGAGGACAAGTCGGATACAGGTGATACAGGTGAATTCCGCCATTGTGTTCTTTCAGTTCACTTGCTTGGTGGAAGCTATCATGAACCGCACAATCATCATTGGTTCCGCCCTATGTGAAAGCGAGAACCCAAAAGTATTTGTGGCTCGGATACAGCGCAAGTTTAACTTCAGCGGATTTCACGATGAAAATGCAGCCCATTGGAAACTAAGTTAGAAATGATCAGTGATGCACGAAAGAAGAAAAAACTCAGAGAAGACGGCCTACAGAACGAGAAGCGGGAGAGCTTCCTTTCTCGTATTCCTCATGATGCGACTCTCATCGGTGCTGCCCTCTCCAACGCTACCGCTCCTCTGCTAAACAGCTAGAGGTCCAGACAGCGAGGAGGCGGCGTACTGCGCCGACAGCGCGCCATTAGCGCCGCGGGTAAGGCCATGCTAGATCGCCGGAACAATCCATCGATACAAATTACGTGTTAGTCCTCTCCCTACGAGGTCCGTCTGTCTTACTACTAAGTAAGATCCCTTCCCGACCTTCGTCCTTATCGTGGAATACTCCTTTAATGCGTACTTTACAGAGAAGTGCGCCACGCAAGCTCGAGTGAACTTGATGCCGTCCCCAACTATTTAAGAATATGCCAGGTCTACGGCCATGCCTCCAGCCTAAAGGGCACTAAGGAGAGCCGCCTCGGCCAAACGGTGGACTTGGCTTCTCCGGGAGAGGTATGTGCCGGGCAACACAAACAAGTCAGACGATTTGACCCACTCGTTTGAAGTGCTGGTAAGGCCCAAGGTAGTGCTAGGTTAGCCTCCAAGTATGCACGATGGACAAAAACAGCTGCAGGCAACCGGCAGAAAGCCACTTTTATGGCCTGTCCCTTAACGCCAGATACTACGACTGGCTTGGCATCTCCAAGCTCGAGAGGAGCAACTTCCTAGGACGTCAAAGAGATGACCGATAATATTGGGTTGTCTCATAATTCCGTCGCATTTTTATTCAATTTTAAATTCCTTCCGTCTAAGACCGTTTCATTGCAATATACGTTAGTATGTTGAAGTATGCTTCAAGTGCCTGAACAGCGTGGTTTCGGAAGCGCAAGCCCTTAACGGGTTAATCAATTAGTAATAAAAATAGGTCAGTGACTGCAATCAATGATTATGCTTTACGATCCTCAAATGAACTCTGTAGCAAGGAGGACAACAGAGAAGATCAGCGTGTGTTTGACTCAGTCTCCGCTACTGATAGTGTACTGAGCTAGTGGACCAATCGCAACGGCAAAGACGAATCGAGCTATGAACTTTAACCTCATACTGGGCCTGCGGTCATTTTTGATGAGCGCCCCTTGCACCCTAAACTGGGAGTGCCTCCGCGCGTTGCTACCAAGGTATTGTAGCAGATACCTGAGCGCAGCGATGCACCAGCGAACGCCATCAGTATGGCAAGGACTGCTGCAGAGTGAAGTTTCGATGGAAACCTTATGGTCCGGCCGACCATGAGCGGGAAGCACACCTGATCACCTGGGGAAAACCCATTCTTGGATGGCAAAAGCAGAGTCTTCCCTAATCGGTCACCGGTGGAAATGAGTCATGAGTCCACTGCGACAACAACATGCGGCACGTTTTATGGCTGCCTCGCAGCCAGGAAGCACCAGCTCAACCAAAGCCCGAACTCCGTTTTCTGAGAATATCGATCTCGTTATTGGATTCGCTAGGTGGCCTGGTTTGGGAACCACTTCAATGAATGAAGACAAGCATTGCTAAAGTCAGCGCGAAATAGCCCTCTTGGCTGGCCTTGGGGTTGCGAGAGAATCGTCAGAAACGTCTCAGATCCTCCTTCCTCCGAATGTACACCAGACCTCACATTGCAATGCCAACTCACCACGTTGTGGGGGAGATAGCCAGGGCCACGATACCTCATCCACCATAAGGCGTTGGTATTGCTCTTTTGGACTATCGCCTCCCCTGCGCCTTGAATAAGCATCTGCCAGAGAAGAAAGTTAAAGATTGCGGTCACCCCAAAAACGACTTCTCCAATATCTCTTCACACCCCCAGTTTCCTTCGTTCAGGCTGGAAGCTTTCAAACGCCTATCAGTAAATGAACGCATATCACTGACCATGATGGAGGTTGTATGCTATTAGTCAGTTGTTTCCCAGAAGAGATAAAACTTGAATAAACAAAAGTGTAGAAATTGCGACAGGAATTATGAGACAACCCAATAAATAGTGAGTCCAGTCAGTGTTGTATGTTGTATACGGAGTTAGCCTGGAGGAGCGCCAGATTGCTGCCCAACTTAGCGCAAAAGGTTTCTGGTACGTATTGCGTGTTAATTGCTATGGTAAGGAAGCCCTCGGCCCTTAAGGAATCTTGCGCGGGAAAATTCTTGCACTCCTTCCTAACATGAATATGTCAGTTGTGATCACTGGAAATAGCACACAAAGTTCACGCATGAAGATTCGGTTTCTGAAGAGAAACAAACGTACCGAAACTACACGTTATGGATCATCGAAGGACCAGGAGGCAGAGCCAGGCGAGGCATGGAAAGAAGACGGCGTTTGGCCGGCTACGTACCAGGCGACGCAATGAGAGAATCGGATTAAAGCGCGCGATTTCGGAGAATGGAGACAAATCGATCGATGGAATACGATGGAGTAGAAGTGTAAGATGTGAATGCAACGAAGCAGAAGGTCAGAAAGACTTCTAGTGAATGCACTCCAAGAACCAAGTTCGAGCATCCCGTCTCCAGCATTCGTGAAAGACGTCCGTGGGCAATTCGAACGCGTAGCAGCCTTTTCGAATTTTCGAATTTCTAATCAAAACAAAAGCAATACTTCAGTTCTTTTCACTATTATCGTGGATAATGAGTCTCAAGCCGGTGATTTATGGCTGAAATAGAATCATGATTTTTCCGCGCAGGACTCCTTTAAGCCTTGCCCTTCGGACTGTTACTCACCGAGCCTTCAACGCTCTTTCCTGTGTAAGGAACCCTTGATACCGGTAACCATGTGTGCGGAGGACAGTATGACCCTCGAGGGGGACCTCAGGGCGACGTGCGCCTGGAAAGGTCCGCAAAGCTATAAACCACCTGGATGCGTGGTGGGAGGATTGGGAAGGCAACCGTTCCCGCATCACGACACCTGGCATGGTCCAAAAAGAGGAAAGCCATCTACAAGAGGCATCACGTAGCTGGTCCTTAATATAATTAGCCGAGTGGTACTCGACAGGAGGCCCATCGCGCGGTAAGAAGGCAGAGTTAGCGGACGAGTCGCGTGCGTGATGTGCGATGCAGGACGTGAAAGACATTCTATCTAACCTCACGCGAAATCACTACAAACGCGCTGCGACTCGTCCTCGACTTAGGTTCTTGTCGCGCGACGGGCCTCCTGTCGGGTACCCTGAGCCGAGAGTTAACGACGACCTTTTCTCTAGCACTAACCAACCTGCAAATCCATGCGGAGCTTTTGTTCGATGTCATTTGCTTTCTTCAGATCAGCTGCAGCCTCCTCATTCAGTTGTTTTTCAGCTGCAAAAAGTACCGATCATGAAAAACAACCAAATAGGAAATAGAAGCACACCGAAGTATGGTTACCGCGGAGTTCTCGCTCGAGTGCTTCCATTGTCAAGCGAGCAGAAGTCAGTTCGTTCATTGCACGAAAATGAGCCTGTTCTGAATCCAGAAGACGACGCCTCATCTCTTCGGAACCTTCCTCGGCTTGGATAGCACGTTTGCGCTCGAATTCCAGTTTGTTTTCGACCACTTCACGTAAGCGACGTTCCTCTTCCAGCTCGCTTTTTTGGTTTTCACACCTAAACAGTACTTACATTGAATGATTGTGTGAACTAAAAAAAATACGAGCACGTACGTAGAAAAGTAAAAGTATTAGGTTGGTCCATAGTCTTGCAACAAATTGGCTAAATTTTGATTTTTACATTTTTGTTTCGTTTTGTTCCACTCATCCAGCATGATACAGCCCATCAATATCTACAACCTATTGCCAACGCACTGGAAGCTATTCGATGCCTCTTGAGGAATTCCGTTGAATGCTAATCGAAGAAAGATCAGGTGTTGATTTTGACATCACCATGGTTAGAATGAGATTTTTTCTCTAGGACGTGGTCTGGAGATGGAAGCAGATGGGCATCCTTTAGTTCGAGGTCGGAGCTATAAGGTGGATGCGAAAAAACTCTCCGGTCGAGAGTCCTAAAATTTTCCTGGGTTTTCTTAGCAAGAGATGGTTCAATAGTGTCATAAAAAAGCAAACTTTGCAACTCTTTTCTTTTGTATTCAAAGCTTTGCAATCATGCTGTGAACGGTTGACTTACGCGTTGATTACGACATCTACTCGAAATTTTCAAAGCTCAACTCCTCTCGTGTTTCACCAAAAAACCAAGAAGGCCGTAATTGGACGAGGTTGAACTTCAGTAGTAAGAACTCCTGGTGCTTGAGCTGGACTTATTGATTAGCACACTGTACCCCTCCTCATCATCGGCAAAAATTATGGATAGTAAATCAAAGAATCCATAGTAAGTTGACTTGACATGTCGATGTCAGATCGTGTTTGAAGCTGATTCGGTTCAAGGCATGTGGGATCCAAACTCAACATTTTCGGACCTTTACAAATCTTCGGAGGTGCCACAGTGCCGCTTCCATGTTGCATCGAAATAGCTCTGGCATATGATTGATAGTTCATCCAGATCCCTTTTCAGCAGCCTCAGATAGAGCATCGTGATTGTCAGTCACGGGGTGGTTTGAGTGTGGATCACTTAAAATTAAAAAAATCAACGCTGAGCAGAATGAGGCGCCTGTGCACCGTGAATTCAGAGAGGGTGCCCTCGCCCATCTTCTGGCCAATCCTTGATGTAGCACGACTCGCGGAACATTCCAAGCAATACTCGTAAAAATTATGGGCACGTAGACCTTTTCCCGAAATCGATTCTTCGGATTTCTCTCAATGATTTTCTAGCATCAAATGTAATTTGTTGCAAGACTTATGGACCAACCTAATACAAAAAAAACGTAAAAATGATACAAGAAAACAGTTCAAAAAATTATTTTCAAAATGCGTCGATTTCTGCAGTGAAACTTCTCTGACACTATATGCGCGTATTCGGCAGTCTTCTGCACTCAACCGTTCAACATGGATAAAAAGTTAACACATTCACGCCAGTGGCAGCCCAAGTCGGCTGCCAGGGGCGTTTGCTCGTGGGACTGGCAGCCCATACAACCTGAGAACTGAGAGTTTGCACGTCTTCGTAATGCAGCTCGCCAAAGCAATGAGTGAAGGAGAGCAACATGTGAGAGAGCGCAAGTCAAGAGCCTGCTGCGGACTGGGATTGAAGCTGTTGAAGATATCACTGCAAGGTCCTTACGCCCTTGCACGGCAATCTCCATGCACGGAAGCGCCACCTCTGACTGTCCTCTTTAGGTCTACCCAGACAGAAGGGAATCCTTCACCCGGCTCCTGCCTGGGTTGTGCCTCTCTAAAATACGTCGTGCATACAACTTGCACTCGGTATAGTAGTCTCATTTTGGATGCAAAATTGAATTGAATTTCAAATTGACCGAGGACCAGGCGATATACGAATCAGTACTTTATCCTCTTACACAAGTATGGTAGCCATTTTCCAACCTTGGACAAATAAAAGCTTGGCTGTCTCGGACGACGTACTAGATTTGATCCCTGGACCACGACCGGTAGGCAGCGCCACTTGCCATTACACCACCTCCGCTCATAAAGAAAAGAGATAGAAGAACCTCTATGGATGGCAAGATGCGTTTGTACTGAGACAATCAAGCAGAAATACTTTTGATGTTGACTAGAGCAAAATTAAAGGAATCTTCCACGGAGAAAACATCGCTTCCATTCCTACAAAAAAAAGATACCTTAGGCCCCTTGCTCCATGAAGATAGCAAAAAGAACGGAACATAGGCGTTGGTTTAGATAATAATTATGATAACCAGTTCGACTATGAAAAATTGGAATTCCCGCTGTAAAACTTCCACAACTGTTAGCGGCGTGGAGTCAACACGTGCAAACGTGTCAAAAGCGTGAACGTGAACTGGATTCATGTTGGACCCTTACCATAAACTGAAACGTGGATCCGCACCTGCCACGCAATTCGTCACCGAAGCACTTCCGGTCCCACCTACTGGTCCAATCCGGTCCCACAGATGGGTCTTTCCAGGGACTGTTTCTCTTGGGGGTTTCATCATTTTCGCTCTGAATTTTGCATATGGTCTTCAATGACCATGGCCAACAACTGTACACAGAGAAAGGATAAGCACTCGTTCCTTGAAAGATTCCTTTAAATAAATTTAGCCACTTATCGCCACTATACCCCTTTTTTGAATTGGACGTATTTACTTACTTACCTTACTATTTTTTTGGAATTACGTGGTGACCTCAATATTTATGTTCATTTACTTCTAAAAAAGTAGGCAGCTGAGAAATGTCTTCAACCTTAATGGAATCCTTCACGGAAAAATCGTGATTGAATTTCAGCCATAATTCATTGACTTAAGCGCTATTATCCACGATAAGAATGAAGAGAACAGAAAAAATTGCATTTATTTTGGTAAAAAATTCGAAAAACCAAAAGGGCTGCTGCGCGTTCAACTTACCGCCGCAAATCTGCCACAAATGCTGGCGACGAGGATGCTTCCACTTGGTTCTTGGAGTGCCGTCACTAGAAACTCTTTCTGCCTTTTGTCTGGTTTTTTGACTTTTTGCATTCACATCTCACACTTCTAGCCATTCTATTCTATCGATCGATTTGTCTCTACTCTCCGAAATCGCACGCTCTCCCCTCATTCTTCGATTGCGTCGCATGATACGTAGGCGCCCCAGTACCATTCCATGCCCCGCCTTTGGCTCCGCTTTAATTACCTTCGATTGTCCATAGAATGGAACTTCTTAGGCTTGTTTCTCTTCGTAAACCGAATCTTCATGCGTAAAACTTTATGTATTGCATCTAATGATCACAACATACATTCATGTTGAAAAATAATGCAAGAATTTTCCGCGAAGGGTTCCCTTAAGTAATGCAGCATTCCGTCCCACTTCTAACCGAAACGAACATATATTCATCTTATTGAGCGTGTATCCGCGCACAGTCAGCCATGTACCAAAACCGACATATTTGTCAAAAAACCTACGTTTGTAGACAGCTTTGAATCTTTGCTTCCTTTGCGCATAATTCCTTGCGGAGCTCGGCCGCTTCGTCCATGTTGCCCTGAGAGCGACCAGCTGCGGAAGCAAGCCTAGAAAAAAGACATTACTATTGTTGCAGCGAAACTGCAGAGCAAACCCTACTCGTGTGATGGTCATTATAGAGGCGGGATAGGGGGAAAATGAAGGAGTGACGTAAATGAAATCTGCTGTTTCAGCGATCACATATACTCCCAACCACCGCTTGAGTACAATTTTGGAAAAATTTCGTAGCGCAGTTGAGTCTGTCAGGATTAAGCAGATTCAATAAAATATTGACATCACAAAACATCGGAAGGTGGGCAGAGGTAGTAGAGAAGAAAAAGGTGGTCAGATCGAGACCTTTGCTTCAGAGGGACAGTACTACCACCGCCTTCCGCCGACGCCATATTCACTCTGGTTGGAACGCGAAACCGGGGAAGGGGCATCACGGTGAAGAGGGACCTATGCCTCTTCCCCACAGTCAGCTCGACCACAGTGCGCACTGTGACAGCACCAGCGAGTTTCTGGCCACGTATCCCACCAGCTGACCTGTTAATTTCCAAATCCTTCGATCTGTTGAGCTCGTCAAGAAGTTTACATTTGGTTCCAAGATCATGTGTGATCCTAAAGAATAACAGTTGGAATCGAAGGTTTCATTAGTGAAGAAACCATGCACTTAGAACAATAAACTTCGAACATTTTGGTGAGAATGTGCTAAGTAGCCCGCTTGATCGAATAATTATCACTGAAGGAAGCGACCGTACCCGACTAGTTTGAAAGGGGGAAGGAGCGTAATGAAAGTTTTAGAGAATTTCGGTAGTATTTAGGAACAAATTTGGCCGGCGCACACTATGTATGCGTATCCCACGGTAGACAATTAATAAATTACCTAAGAAAATTTTCCTTTATTATCCCCGTAATACGGAAGAGAAATCATAAATGCTATTTTCGAAGTCAGGAATGAGCTTTTATTTTTATCACTTGGTTTACGTTCGATCACCCACTCTCTGCACCATATCTGTTCACATTACATCTATGTTCAAGTGGTATAAGGGTCAACTTACCAAGGTGATTCAATACGTGCAGCGCTTTCTCAAGAAAATGTCTCATATGTAACCAGTCGCCAAGGCGTCCAAAAATTGGCGAACTGTAGAGATCTCTTCGATTTTGACCCCATAGGTGTCACAGTTTGTGTAATTGTTCAGGTCTCCCCATTGTAATACACTTCGTAGCAAACTTGTCAAGTGGCACCCCCCCCCCTCCCCCCACGGCAAAGGATAGACCGTGCACTCCACTTGTAAATAAGTATTTGATGGGAACACCTGCATAAAACATGAGTGAGCTTTGTTTTTCTGAGCGGCCCTTGAAATGTCAGGAAGGAGAGGAAACAATAGCATATGGTTCAATGGCTCCGTGACTTCTTGAAGGCGTGGCAGCGGCGAGCTGGACGAGTCGAGGTGCTCTCGCATAGTTGCACGCACCCCCCCCCCCCCCCAAACGCGGTCTTGACGCAGCTACTCGCAACAGTTGGAGCACTACCGACTCGTCCATACTCACTGGGCCCATGCCTATAGGGGTAATAAAATCTCGGAGTCATGGCTAAGCCACCTCCATCCCCCCTTGGAATTAAATTTTTGCATTTCCCCACATTCCACCTCTTCGTGGTTTTGCATTTCTAAACTCTATCACCTAACAGCAGCATCTCCGTGGGTAGCTACTGAACGCTACAAATGCTATACAGTATATAATATTGCAAAGACTGCGCTCCAACGGGGAAGTTTCTGCTAATTTTTCTCAAAATAGAGCCGCTCAGAAATCTGAAACACATTTCCGTCCCTTTTGGGCTGGCATGTCGCTTAGACGTATAAAAATAGATAAATAAATAAACAAATAAATAAATAGATTTCCGTGCTTTCTAGACGTTCCCCCACTTTAAGAACAGCTTTGAAAAAGCATTTAACGTCCTGAACGACTTTTCAGGTTAGTGAAAGCATGAGAAATTCAAGAAGAACATTAGTTTACAGCATACTCACAGGGCGGAAGTGGTGCAGTGACAAGTGGCCGCTCACCACGCGAGCGGTCCGGGATCAATTCCTGGGTTGTGAGTCGCCCGGTTCCATCCCTCGGGGTCGGTTAATTGGTACCAGACTTGTCTGGGAGGATAAAAAACACTGACTTGAACATCGGCTGGCCCCGCAAGTCATTGTATAGGCCACATCGCATTCAAATGCCACTGCGAATGTACAAATGGAAGTAGAATGCGTGTGCGCATCCAAAACGGGATTGATCAACGGCAATTTTATACTCACATACTGTTACAAACGACGGATCCGTTGAAGTCTGGAAGGAAGTACGAAATGAAGTGGAACACGACAGCCGCAAAAAGTAACGACAAGTTGATGACGAAGCCAATCCCTGCCAAATTTCATAATATTACGATATCAATTGGGAGTAGCGCTCTCCTCTGGTTGATTAGTAACTCTATTCAACCGAGAACCGAACCAAAAATCACTAACCAGCATCATCAACACTGTCCATAAATGAGACGATCCTAATAGCTCCTGTTAGCGATTTCAGAACTTCACGAACAGTGCCTGGAAAAGGTCACCATTTCGTTGAGAGATGCACGATGGAACATTTACTGAACGAAAGTGACTTTACTTGAAGAATTTTCAGAGCCGCTCGCATGCATAGCCTCCTGCTTTGGTTCATTAGATACACTCATGTCACGCTGTCCTTCATCAGTACGCGGAATACCCTCCAAAGGCACCGGATCACCATCATTCGGGCACTTTTCGCGGAGGCAGAACTACAACACAAAAGTCCAAAATAAAAAGTCACCGTAAATGGTCCATCTAAGCATCAGTTATAGAGAAGAATGACGACTTATGATGAGAATTATTATCATTATGTAATGTAAAATATATGCTATACGGAGTTTTTAAAGGCTGAATTTCCCATTGAAGTCCACAATAATGCGATCCTCATTCTATCGAACCATCAAAAGATGAATGAATGCGTTAACGTAATGCGAAAGACTTAAAGCAACAGTACCAGCAGGGTGGGCGTGGTCGGAAACGACTGCAACCCCCTCAGCCGATTCCGACCACGCCCTCTTCGGCTCCCTCTCTAGCGGCTTTCCAAGGTGAGTTTTTGTTCAGTCACCTTCCTACGTTCTTGATTATGGGCTGAACAGCTCCAAAGTGGGAATCGGCCGAGGGGATTGCAGCCAGAGTCAACCCTGCGTTGCGCAGTTCGCAACGGCACGTTGAGAGATCTTCAACGCATGCTGTATGGGCGGAGACGCAGACGGCTCGAGCATGCGAGTGTGAATGTTCGCGCGAGAGAACGTGTCTAATCGGGCGAAACTGCGCAACGTGGCCGTTGAAAACTGCGCAACGCAGGGTTGACTCTGATTGCAGCCGTTTCCGACCACGCCGACCCTGCTGGGACCGTTGCTTTAACACATTCACACCGGTGGCAGCTCAGGGACATGTAATCATGAGAGCGGCTAATAATCGCTTGCTAATCGCTTGCATCGCAATTTTGGGTACTTTTGATGCCACCTAGCTAACTAGCGACCAATAGGTAAAGCTAACTAGCGACCAATAGGTAATTAAACAGGATTCACCAAAAGGTTGAATAGGCTTCCTTCCAAAAAATTTCTGAGCAGTATGAAATCTTTGGTTCGGTTAGGTTCTCTTTCAAAACTATTACTTCTGCATTTCACGAATAAAATCACTACCCTCCCTTTGAGAAAGTTGAGAGATATTCGAACTTTATATGCACTATCACTATAGCATAGATAGCAAGCATAAACATTGCAAAATCAAAAAGAGTTAGCGACTGTGTGCGAAGAACGAGCGAGTTTGAGTTCCAAGAAACCCGAGCAAGGGGAATTTTGGCTCGTGGAATGACAGGCGATCTCCCTATGGATGCGGAGCGCTGCCATTTCGCTGCAAAGGGCCTCTCCTCATCGTCTGACGCTAGCCAGAGAGCGTTAGCGTTGGAGAGGGCAGCACTGATGAGAGTCGCAGCAATGCGTAAACCAAGGTGTGAGGAAAAGGTTCTGTTTCGCGTGGCAATCTCTTACGGTATTCTGAATAACTGTAACGCAGAAGGAGAGGAAATATACATTCTACGTTCATATAATGAATACACCGATCATAAAAGAAGACAAGCTGACAAGGCAACTCCACGTCAAACAAGTAGCGACCGGTGCTTGTACATGCAAGTAAAATGATCTCACATTGCGATTCCAAAAATCTCACCTTGTCAACATCTTCAGGAGGGTTTGCAGGCGCTTCTGTTACGGGCACACGAACATCAAAATCGCTCGGTGATAACGTGGTTGACGGTTGTAATGTCAAAGGGACCTTGTCCGGAATTGCTTCAACTGCAAAAATTCCCCATTCCCACTAGAAATACGACGAAACACAAAAATAACTTAGTAACCTTCATGGTAAACTCCTCCAATCAAATAAACCGAACCTTCTTGTGTGTCAGCAGTGTTGTGTGGTTCCTTCGGTTTGGTAAGCTCAGCAAGTCCCAGTTTCTCAACAGAATCCATAGGGACTACAGGTGGAGTAGTGCTTGGATCCACAGTTCCTACATGCTGCGTTTCAGGCTCCAATGAACGCGAGCCAGACGACGAAAAGTCACCGCTCTGAAAGCGCTGTTGAAGGATTCGATTCGTGAATTCGAAATCCTAATTCATTTGAAAATTTAGGTAATCTTCGAAGAAGTACTTGCATCCTTTTGATGAATGAAATAACGAAGGACAGCCCACATTCAAAACATCCGATGCATCAAAGCTTTGACCTAAGGTTTTGCAGCGAACAAAAATATGTAACGTGTCAGCAAGACGAATCAGAAAGTACAGAGTGGATAAAATCAAGTTAATGAGATAGCACCCCAATCATCTGCAATTCTAATAGATGCATCTGGATAAGAAGACTTTTGGGAGAGCTGTACTCAATATTCCATTAGGATATACCGTCTGCACACAAAGCAAAGGTTGTGCAAAACAGGAAAACTTTAGGAATCTTGACATCGAACGAGTGACAAGTTAATTCTAACGATTCAAATTCCATGGATTGTTCTGCGTGGCATGCTAGGGATGAACGCCTGCCCAAGGCATCATTGAAACATTGATGGTTTGAAGGGAAATCAAGGACAATTTAACCCTTTGACGACCGCCGTTATGCATGCGTCACTTCACTTCTTTTTTTCAATTTTTTCAAATTTTTCCATCAGTAATTATTAACTCTACAAAAATTTTAGTTGTAGTAACTAGCGCAACATTTCGCGGATTCGATAATGTATATGTGTGATTTTGAAACATGAAAAATGCTGAAATAAATCACAAACGAGCCGCCACCGAGCGAAAGTGTGCTCCACCGGCGAGCCACACGGTAGTTAAAGGGTTAATCAAAATTTCCTGATTTAAATTCAAAGGGCGACGAGCGGAAGTGGAGTAGAGGCTGGCACGCTTGCTACTGTGAGCGGTCCGGGGATCGAATCCTGAGTAGTGAGCCGCCCGGACCAACCGAGTCTTCCATCCCTCCAGGGTCGCTTAATTGGTACCAGGCCTGTCTGGAAGGATAAGAACACTGACTTGTAATACATTGGCTGGCCCCCACAATTTAATGTATAGGGCACATCGCCTTCAAACGTCACCACGAATGTACAAATGGAAGTAGAATGCGTGTCGCACACCAAAAAGGGATTGATCAACGGCAATGCTTTATCCTTTCTTAACTCAAGGCTGAAGGAATTCGAACTCGAACAGCTTGGGCATAAAGCCTGAAGAAGCTGTTCGAGTTCGCATCCTTCGCCCTTCAATTAAAAAAGGATGTTCCCAATCCATCTATGCAAAGCTGCTTGCATGGAAATTCAGATTCCAAAAAGGAATAGAATGGGATATGTGAGGTGACTCAACCCCGCGCCCATCCCCACCATTATGGGGTCCAATGAAGATCCTATTAAAAGTATATATCGCGCCGAGCTCGAAAATTTGTCTATCGTCCTGGCCAGCCATGTTCGGAAAGAAAACAATAAGAAGAAATGAAGTATCAGAATGAAATGGCATCAATATCTGGAAAAGTATCTGGGGTCCATTTCCACTGACATGAAGTGAAATCCCTACCCATCACTCCTCCCCTCTCCCAGAGTTTGCAAGGCCCTGTGGAAATCGTTATGCCCCAGGTGGTCACGCTTTACAGAGCACATAGTGAACGCTTATTTTTTTAGACGAGTCGGAATATCTTCCGAATATATCCCAGGCATAAGAATGTTTCAACCACACACAGAGTCTACATGCAGTAGCACGCCCAAGTTATTATACTAAACTTCTTAGCGCAACAGAAGTAGGAATCCCTTTGATGTAACTCATAATCCAAAATCAACGCCCTACTATGTTATGTAACGCAGGCTCACCGCAAATCGGCCGGAGATTGAATCGTGAAGAGGCCTATTACCCTAAAATCCCATAGATAAGAGCGGTTTAATTTACGTGAAAAATGAATTGGAATGAAATTGAAATTGAATGCAGTCACCCCTCTAACTTGATAGATGGTTAAATAAAAATCGGAGAAGAAGTTTAGAAGAAGCTCCGCCTCTCAACTCTAAACCCCGCCCACTTAATAAGCAATTCATATAGAAAAATAGCGATTTTAACGGAATTTCTGCCGGAATCTCTCTAGAAATGCCGGAATTTGATCTCTGGATAGAACTTGAAGAGCCTATTGTTCGATCAGTAAAATTCCATAGATAAGAGCGGTTTAATTTACCGGTAAAAAATGATTTTGAAAGAATATTTTTATTTATTTTATTTTTGAAAAAATATCTATGGACCGCTCTTATCTATGGGATTTTAGGGTATTAAATATTCTTAGTAACAAGATGCACACTCAACTGTCCCGCCCTTGTGACAATGAGCGCTTCTGTAGGCGATCAAATCATCGAACGTCGTTTCCAGATCACTTTGAACACTGAAGTATTTCTCGCTTAAGAAGCTATCGGGATGGTTGGAAAAAGTGTTATTGGTGAGCGAGAGGTCCAATGAGTACGACGTAATGAGCAAAGCTTCGTAATGCCAGTTTGTCCAATCTTTGCGAGGTCGTTTATGGGACATGTTGCTGAACGCCACCATGAAGGAGGGTTCTTTCATTCCTCTTGGTTGACGAAGTTGGTGTTTCAAGAGCATCTCATCGGTATGCTGGAGAGACATTGGTGTTGTGTCAAATTCACCTGGTTCCCAGAAGGTGTGGTGCATCAGTCCTGTGGAAGACCGCCGAATGTTCAACTCAGCATTGACCTACTACAATTTTGGCTTTAGATAACTTTTTGAGGATTCATCGCAGACCAGCTTGTGAAGGAATGGCTTGCTATATTCGTGAACAGTCCATTTTCCATTTCAGATCACAATGCTTTTCTAATATTCGTTGTTTTCGTTACGTAAAATGGGTGGAAACGACACCTTAGGAATACGGTTTTGCTGCTTCATCGGGTAGCCAATGCGGTAGCCATCTGTTCAGCTTTTTCACCTCCGCAGTTACCTTGATGAGACACAATCTTTCCAATATACTCACGTCCAGTCCTATTGCTAACTACAGTGCAGTTGGTCCGAAGCCATCTTCTACGGGAACCTTTAGAAGGCCGTCATTAATAGCGGATTCATGTTCATGACTCCCCCCATATTCACGATGGAATTCATTGAGACCAAAATGTTGGAACCGATGTTGTGCTATGCTTTTATTGGTGCTTCCTTGGCCTCTTCTTTCAGTATTATTTCGAGTGGTCTACGAAGCACTACCTCAGAGTTTCAGCACATCGAAGTAAACTTGTCAAAATCGCTGTCTTGACACCTTCACTTCAAATCTATAAAAACCCCGAAATAGCAAGCCATATTGAAACTCAAATACACTGAAGGAAAGAAGATACAATAGTCTTGCCAATGATATACAGGGCTTCAGGTCTGGAATGAAATATCAGTATAAAAATATTCCAGAATGTATGGCATCTCCAAACCCGCATTACTTTCCGAACAACCTAATAAATATGTGGCACGTCAATATGCTTTGAAATTATAGGAAGCGATCACGATGAGGGAGCGCATCGGGAAACATACACACTACACGAAGCAGTTACTTGGCTGTCAAGGAAGCGAAGTGTGGTGTTCTCACAACGAAAGATGCGCTGGTTGCTGAGCAGTACTTTGAAAGCACTCCGCCCCCAAAAGCGATCCGCCCACCAGTTCACTTGTTGATTTGGACGAGTTACGGGCTAGCAGTGGTGCAAATGGACCATCTCGACTAAAGCGTGATTTGGCAATGGCGACATCAAACGTGTTGCGATGAATTCGTTCATAGCTCTACTTTTTGAGCTGTGCCTTGTTGGTGAGTGAAAAGCAACGGCCAAAAAAGCGGATCGCGTTTTACGTTTTCTCGGCAGATTTTTCTGTTTTTTGGTCACTGGTGAACCATAGAGCACCAGTTCGTTACTCTACGCCCTTTTCATAATCGCTGCCTTTAATACTGCATACAAAAAATGTCAAACCTCTGGCTTCAGATTCATAGCCTTTGCAGTTGACGCTATGACGTCAGCCGTTGAAAGCCGTTCTAATACTGGAGTATCGGTAACGTTTCCTGCATTCAAAGGCATTCCCTCAATATGCGTTTGTGATTGGTTATCCGCTGTCGGCAGTGCTATGTCCTCCTGAATGAAAATACGTTATTTAAATAAGTCTCGCATTTATAAATGCAAAATAAAATTTAGAGATCTTGGTATTGCACTGTCCCGGAGCCTCAGCAGGACCTATGTAAAGTTGCATGACACAGAGAGGTACCAGAAGTTTCATTTTCAAAGGATTCCAAAAGTTCATAAAAGTCCAAATACTCCAAACAGCCGAAAAACAAAGAGAGTTCTTTTGGAAGCTTTCACGACATTCGGTGTATAGCACCTTCTTCAGGCCTAATGTACATTGATTACAGCTTGTATAATTATTTTAATTGGTTTTTCCCGAAATGGGATTGGATTAAAATCTTATACAAGCTATAATCAATGTATTTCAGGCCTGAAGGGTTATACATCGAAATATCGCAGAATTTTCCGAAGAAAGTCTTTTTGATTTTTGGCCTGTTTTTTTTCTGAGTCTTTGAACTTTTATGAACTCTTGGAATTTTTCGGGAGAAAACTTTTGATGCCTTTCTGTGATACGAAAATGTAGAGTGGAGTGACCCTAGGCGTAAAGATAAGGCAACCCTAGACCAATGAGGTTTAGTGGAGAACCCCTGAATACACAGTATTGCGCTAACTAGCCTTTTGTGAAATGCCACCTATTCTTCGCGCTCAGCCGTCACCTTGCGGACAAAAACAATTCCCCAACGCGCTCGAAATTGAGCTCACTGCCTTTCCTGCTCATAACTGCCAGCGTTCCAAAAGTAACGTAACCACTCTTTGGTTGCTCACGGACTGAATGTCATTGACAGTGTAGCGCTCGGGGTTTGTCAATCCTTTCTGTGCTCCGCCTCTGCCTCTGCTCCGCCCACCAGTGCGTTAGCGGTCGCATCACAGTTCGCTTATCACTTCCAGCAATCGCATCCTATGACTTTCCCGTGGAATGCATTCCCAATCGATCTACAGTGCCTATTGGCAAAATCGTGGTTAACACGTGCAAAAGTTGGTTGCTGGCTCGTCATTTGTCGAAGGTCAGCGGAGAAAAAGGTCCCATTTTTGAGTTGTTTACGGACTCTGTTGCTTTTAGTCACTGGTGCATTATTCAGCAATCCCACTTCCGCTGTAAATATACCCAGTCTCGTCGCGATCCCTCGCTTTGAGTCGGCGCTTTTGTCTTCCACATATATAGTGCACTTGTGTCCAAATCAAGCACTACGAAACAGAACTGATTCCAAGGGCAGCTACTGTATTCAATGAAAGGGTCATGAACAAATTTTGAAGTTCAATCACATTGTAAAGGACCTAAAGTGAGCCAAAAGATACAGAGGAAATTTCAAGAAAAATTATCACCTTGACGAGATTGACACCGATAGATCCAGCCGGATCAGATGCCACCGGATTGACACCCATGGATCCACTGACTTCAGGTGTCACTGGCTTGACACCCATAGATCCAGCCGACTCTGTTACCACAGGATTGACACCCACGGATCCACTGGCCTCAGGTGTCACTGGCTTGACACCCATAGATCCAACCGACTCCGATACCACAGGATTGACACCCATGGAGCCAGTCACCTCAGGTGCTACAGGCTTGAGATTCATCGATCCAGTCGGGTCAGATGCAACAGGCTTGACGTTCATGGATCCAGCCGGCTCAGATACTACGGGATTGACACCTATGGATCCAGCCGGCTCAGATGTCACTGGATTGACACCCATCGGTTGAGGTTGCTCCGATGCCGCAGGCTTTGTTGGTGGGGGTGGCACTGTTACAACAGTCGCATCATCTGAAATGAAAACTCTGAAAATGCAAAAACGAAAATGTTATGAACCTAAATGAACGATAATTTCAATGCAGTAATTCAGGGGAAATGAACACTACTAGGTAGTCCAGAAATTAAATATCAATGTCATCCTGCTTCTTCTATGAACATTTTGGCAACAAATTCATTGGCGGAGATTGTATTGTTACATAGGGGGGAAAAGTCACTTTGCCCATGGCGCATATCATCAAACTTTTCATCGCAAAGGATGCCGCTGTTATTGGGAGTTATATGGCGAATTATTCCTGATGTCCCCCCGTAAGCGGAATCAGGCCCATCTTCGCTGCTACCACCGTCTCCAGAATACGACGTCATCTGTCATCACCGTCGAGCTCAAGGGGGCCTACCACAACTGCTCCATTCTGAAGCTGCTACATGAGTTCTTCACTCGGATAACTGGTGAATGACTTCTTAGGGAAACTAGCTCTGAATATGCAAAATATGCTTTTGACCGCGTTTCAGAGACGTCGTAATCGTTTACGGTTTCTCGAGGACCTCGTTGAGCTCGTACCGCAAACCAAGTTTCCGTAGGGAAATCTTCTGATGTCTTCGGTGTATAGAGCCCCTATGTAAATTCTCTGATAGAATAGAATGTGCTTTTCAATATGCAAATGAGCTCATTTGGTTTGGTTCCGACAAAGTTTAATTAGTTCTGTTTTGAATGTGAGTGAGAGTGACTCTTTTTTCTCGGCCCATCTTATAATTAGGCAGCTCATTTCACGAGTTTAATCGAGTGGTAGTAAGTGCTAGCTATGCTCAAATTTTTGGCAGAATTTTCAGCTTAGAAATGGAGACATCTAACGCAAATTTGAATAAATTACTTTCCCAAATTCCAGCTCGGTCGAAATGCAGCAAAAGAAAAAACTCGAAATGTGGTATGTAGTCAAGAATGCGCTATCAAGAGAACAGTTAGCCACTGGTCTCAAAAGCTTTGCCGTGGCAATTTCGTTCACCAATACAAGGTCGCTTATGTGATTTTGTGCTCGATTAATTTTATATGAAGTAGTAGGTGGAAGAGAACATGCTTAGTGCTGTGCAAGCACCAACAGCGTTCCTAAGCAAGGTCGACCGTCACGTTGGACAAATTTCAAAAATTTTAGACCTCCCTTCTGGAGGGCCTCCATATGACCCTCCTAGCTGTTACTACAGTGTTTGTTTTTGAGACCAGTTGACACAGCCCACTCCACCCACATTTCCTTTCCCCGAAAATCTTACAAAATTTCAGCAGCCGTTTTTCAATTTTAATTTTCTCTTATTCATTGGATCTGGAGTGAACCAGTCGAATACCATGTGGGACGGCGCGGGACGTATGCGTCCTGCACCCACTACGTGCCTTTTTCCGCGATGAGCAGCGGTTCTCGAAGCCATACAAAACTTTTAGTTCGGCTTATTTTTCATTTTTTTCGTATAAATAAGAAGATAACAGGAGTAAATACAGAGCTGATCGAAAAATTACTACTATTGCCCTGATTCAAGGCACTGGAAATTACTATAATAATTTTATGACCCACTAAGCAATGTTCGTGCTTCTATCCTGTAACTGTGTCCATGTCTAAGCGTCCTAATCAAGAACAACAGAGCAATTCAATAATCACTAAACTCAGAATACTTACCGACATGTTCAGTCGGAGAGCCTTTTGATCCGTGAAGTTGAGCCGTGTGCTCATGGCTATGGAGATGACCGACATAATGAGGATGTGCTCCATGACCACTTCCGTGACTGTGACTGTGTCCATGGTTATTGTGTGCCTCTTCTGGTAAAGGAAACAACTCTGGTTCGGGGAGATTTTGCTCCTCAGCATATCGACGAGCCTGGACATTATAGTCGCGTACCAAATGCAAATCGGCTCGAACAGTACCTGGCAATGAAACATTCACAGTAACTCACAAGCATAAATGAAATAGTTGAAACTTCTATCCCAATAAGTTAACTGTAATAACTGGTAATTTTTCACCTATTTGTGTTGAGCGAACTGTTCGCGATTCAGCACGTCTGAGAACGCCAAAGAAAAAGGACTTTGTTATTCATGAAAGCGCCTCAACAACTATGAAGTATTCCACTGAATTTGCTTAACGTGAAACATTTACCATACTACAATTTTTCTCATATTTCCCGTATAGTGTTCAAAATGAATTTGAAGCTCAAAAGATTTCCGCTCCTCGACAAGGCGAATCCCTGTTCGTTAGCAGACCTGACGTGGAATACGTTTTCGAACGCGTTTCCTCATGTCTTTTCACAAAAATCCGTCCAGAGAACTTCAAAATTCCTTTTTTGTTTCTGTGAACAGGAGTTCAACTGGTCTGCCTTTGTCGAATAATTCCCGGATGTGACAAATACTCAGATTCGATCCAAACTCCTAGACGTAATGAAATTGTAGGACGTTCGAACTTGTTGAAGCCTGCCCCGGAGCTCCAACTAGTGCTACGAAGGATTTAGTTTGGGGTAGAGTTTTATTTGCACTATATTAATTCCACCAGTGGAATTTCCGATCGGCGACTATCCTGCCGCAAATGATATGAACTATGGGAAGGCACAACAGATTGGTTAATCGAGACCTCTTCAGTGCAAGCCATGGTTTTTCTCGTTCCCTACTTGCTCTTATGATTCCCCTCTCAATTGACTAGATATTCTCTCTCTCTCTCTCTCTCTCTCTTCGCTCTCTCTCTCTCTCTCTCTCTCTCTCTCTCTGTCGCGGGCGTCCACGACCGATACTTGGTCTGGGTTCCTACCTCCATGTGCCACGTTTATAGACAGTTGACCTTGTTCAAGTGAGTGAGCACAAATCAACCTTCACCATCAGTATCCATGCTCCCCCGAAGGGATTTTATTAGGTCATGTAGGCAGTGTCGTTTTATCTTCTAGTGAAATCCCACATATAAATCGATTCTATGCCACTCGAAAGAGATTTACAAACCATAAAACTGTAGATTCTCTTCTTAAACGTCACAAACACATTGAATTTTAGGCATGTGGATAAGAAGTTCTGTCCGCAAAAATTAGAACCGACAACCAGCTCTAGCCATATTTTCTCCTAGGAAAACACATCAACGATGTACACTCTACTCACTCACGAACCCGTCTGAAATTCCGGTATTAGGTTTTTTGAAATATTCTTACCGGGTTTCCTTCTGAAATTTTTCTATGGTTGACCGCTGAGTGAGTAACACTCCGAACACTGTTTTGCATCTAGTGAAACACCATCGTAAGCCTTTATTTCTGCTAAATTCGCTAATGTTTTTTAGGTTTCGTTATACATTCGATCGCATTATAGGCCTACGTGATAAGGGGTCCAGTTCCCAGGAATAACCACATTACTTCAAAATAGTTTCCCTAGAAAACGATAAAATTAATCAGGCATTTTGAACTTGATAATACTCTCCTTTACATTCTACTGAATTTTCAACGCTTCAACTTGGAGGAACGTTTGGCTCTAGATTTGCCGAGATAGTGCTTATAAGCACAGGTCGGGATCGAAGTAGTGTGTATTTTGCCCGAAAATTAGACAAAAAAAATGCGATGAGGAACGCTAATGGGAAGAAAAAGCAAAAAAAGCTGTAGAAAATACCAAAACTCTTATGAGGTCGGCAGTGGTATGATGGAGAGACAACGCTGGAGGAGAGGGAAAGCGCGAGAGAGCACGTCATACGCAAGAGAGCACACACCACACGTATGCCGAGACGCCCTTATTTCTCACTAAATTGAGACTGGCTCATGGTACTTGATCCGAATCTGTGGCTTTAACAATCGAGTTCTCGTGGAAAAACCAAATTTGAAAAAGGAACGACACGAATTGCTCCGAAACCTAAAGGCGGGATGTTAAGGAAAGGTTGTGATCAAGTAGGGGGAGCATCATTAAGCGCTTTGTCTCATGGGAATAGTGTTAAAGCTAGTTGAATGTTCAGCGAACTTTCACCGACTAGACCTCCACATTTCGCAGGCCTGAAATTCAAAGTGTTTGCAGTGAGCTTCAAATTATATGGCACAATGTAAAGCATGGAACTTTGGTATGCAAAAACCAAAGTTTCAAGATATTGCATTTTCACGGGGCGACAGCCCATACCCGATTTTTCGTGAATAGATTGAGAACTCATGACTCCTTTGAGAAACAAGGTCAACATTACCAAATGCTATGAAATTGGAGTACTATGGACTAGCTTTCAAAGAATTTCATCCTCACCTAACAATTTCTTCGATCCTAAATCATCTCGAGTCTGGCTAACTTCTTTTAGTTCTTTCTTCTGATGTATAGCATCTCGTAGAAATTCTATGTAACTTCCGATATCAATTGCACCAATATAAAAGTTGCCTCTTGTTCCATCAGCTAGCTGAAAGTAGAGAAACAATGATGGTCATCAGATCCACAGTCAAGGACTAAGTGCTTGGAAAAAACGATTACGAATGCTGGTAGCCGCTTGTCCACGCGACTTCTATCAAGTGGGGCGGCCACCACGCCAAATCCGTAGACAGACCTTCTCAGACAATTTCGGCTGCTGGGTCATCACCATTTTTCTGCTTCGTATTACTGGTAACCGGAGTGGTAGCGTGGGTGAGCAATTGAGGTTGTGTCTATGACCGATTTACAATCATTTTCGTCGTATCTCTTCGAATTATCATCCATTTAGGATGACACAAACAAAATTTTCAGTGTTCTGTCTCCATCATTCGTACTCCTCTTGGCATCACTTCGTCGCAAAGTACTTAGCTGTTTTCGCATCAGGTTTCTCAACATCAGGATTGATTCTCCCAACTACATGTGGTTCCCCTCTTCCGTATAATGTGGACCTCCACAATTCTCGTCTTGATACATAAGGAGAAGCTCGTGCAACGGTATACAATACAACACCAGCAGTCGGTAGCTCGACTTAATTTTTGAGTATCAGTAGATCGCGATCTCTAGTCGAGAAAAAGTGTGAACTCGGAAGCAGTCCACTTACACCCAACAGAAGGCTAAAGTCGACAAAGCAGAACCACATTAACCATAAGTTCTTGCAATATAGGGGACAACATACTGAAGTTTTTCTTCCGCATGATACCACAACATACCGCGAACTATTTCTGGCAGAAAAAAAACCTTACCACGCCTTCCATTAAATCAGTGCGGTCGCTAAATTTCACTGCAGTAACATCGATCACTACGCCTTCCTTGAGCGACAGAAACGCCTCATGAGTAGAATCCATTACTCTCTTCACCTTTGCTTTGAATAGAATCTCTGAAAATAAAGCATCTGCGACAAAAAAAAACGACGAAGATTGATAATAAACCTCAAAATTAGATTTTAGTAAGTTGCTGCTAAAAACAACACGCTAACGTTGCTCATTATTTCTCCTTGCATTTGAGATCATTGAGCGACAGTAGGTTCTGACATGATTTTACGACCTCAATGCGGTTACGAGATAGCTCACATTACATACTATCCAACGCCTTGTTTAACTTGAGGCTCACATAACGAATCGCCGTCCTTTGCAGAAAATTCTTATTTTGCAAGCATGGAGAGAGCCAATAAATTCAAGAAGCAACGGTCATCGATAGGGGACATCCCCTTTTATCATAGGCCTATGGGAGGATCCTGAAATCGTAAACATCGAAGAACAACACCGCGAGCTTTCGAACATCCCACGATAGTAGATGGAGCAGAGTTCGGAAGTCACCAAGAGACGAAGAAGAATTACCAACCCACATGGAGCTCGCAAAAACTATGCAGAGTTGATGGGAAGATCTTGAAGTACGATGAAGCCACACTAATAGCCAAAGCCGTACAGGCTGGAAGGAGCATCGGCTGCCCGCCGAAGCCTTGACACCTACAAGATGACCAGTTGACCTGACTCTGACGTAGACAGTCCTGCACCACGAAGCTTAGTATATGAACTCTTCAGGAGTTCCACTTGTATTTCTTCAAGAGCCATATCCATCTGCTCACGTATCAAATAAAGCAGGATCGATACGTTGTCCCACCGATTCTCCTTCTTGGGTCCGACACGACATCACAGCGATGGAGATGTATAGCACCCGATCCCAATAGGACCAGCCCGGAACCTGTAGTCAAAAACTTGCCCGTTTTATGGAGACCCACCCGTAAAAAACCAGTAGAACTATGTTGCTGTACACGGGAGCTTGGACGACAACTGCCCGTAATCTATCAACTTTTCATTCGAGTCATCCCCAACAAGAATGGCAGGGTCTTGGATGGAGGACAACCGTGCTGTAATCAGGGTTTCTAGAGGGTTCAGCACGATCGATGACATCCACATGGTCAAGATACTCGTTAAAGTTTAACGAGAATATGCGCCTTTGTCTTAGGTTCATCGACTCGAAGAAGTCCTTCGACTAGAGAGAAGCGGTCTTCGAAGCCTCGGGCAACCATAGCTTTCCACTCAGTGCATGAACATTGTTCGTGAGCTCTATCGCAGCTTTACGACTAGAATATCACCATCACAATGAAGGTCTTCATCGACGTGATGAACTTGACAGGGCGATCCCATCCCGCGCAAACTCTTCAGCACCACTTTCGGGACGTCATGCGTCAAATAGACCTTGAAGACATGAGAAAGGAGATCGACTGCCGGCAACTACACCACCTACGGTTCGCTAAAAATGTTCTCATAACGCAAAACATCAGGCAAGCAAGGAGAATGCAAGCCGATTTCCGTCTTTGGTAAGGTTGGTCTGCAGCCGAAGCTAGGACGACGATAGCTATGAGAAACGGATTGGTTCCTGATGCTCCATTCACGCTCAACGAAAGACATCCAGCTACGCGTGCATAGTTTGGGAAAAAGAGCGAGGTGTTTACAGGGCGACGCTATCTCGCCTGAAGCTTTCAATGCCGTCCTCGAGAACGTTGCAACAACTGGAATGGTAAGGCATGGGAGTAAAGATCTATTCGGAACGAGCCCTCCGTTATTAAAACATATGAAAGCTCCAGAACTAACACTAACCATCGCATTTCTCATTCCCACATAATTTTGACTTCTTCGATGCGACCGGTGTTTTGGCAGCGAGTGTGATAAAGCATAAAACCTAGAAAAAAAAACTATACATTTCTCCCACCATGTGAGTAGAGTTTAGCTACTAACCTGGACAAGTAAGATGACCTTCATAGCTACAAGCATACGTTCGTAGGTTCAGGGTTGAGTCAGCAAAAGGAGCATCCCAACCTGAAAAATCAATGATAAACAACGCACACTAACAAAGTCATCTCTTCTAATGTATAATTTAGCCGGCAGAGAATGCATTGCATGGGCTCCGAACTTTCTTCGCACACTTGGGTAAGACCGCGGTGAGCGCTGTCGAGTCGGTAGTGCTTCTGCTACGCGGGTAAGTTGAAAAGTAAGTGCTCCATCAGCACAGTTCGCGAGCACCTTGAGTGGTGCGCTTTCAGATTCATCCGCGCAGCGTAAGACCGATGTCAGACTTCGCGAATCGCACGATTCGCTACTACGATTCGCGCGATTCGCTGGCGTCCGCGGTCGAGTTGCGGTACCAGCCAATTGAGTGATTCACTGGCCGCGACGCGACCGCAGACGCTAGCGAATCGCGCGATTCGCAGTCTCGCCCTAAGCAATAGTGATTCGGCCGCGCTCGCCGCGGTCTCACCCAAATGTGCGAAGAAAGTCTCAGAGGTATTTCATGGCAGAAACGATCTAACTGTCGCTCGTCTTCCTGCGTTCAAGCAACAATTCCAGATCGAAATCGCGAGGTACAAACGGTCGATTATGAAGCTGTAGATGATGAGGACTGCTAGTGGAAAAAAGCAAAGAAAATAGGCGAAAAAGCCTTTGAGCAGAGACTCCCCCTCTTCCCCTAAGAAATGAAGGAAGGGGTTTGTCGGACGAGTTGTCCGAACTTTCTTGCTTTGCTGGCATTTCTTACTAGCTCATGCCGGCAAGAAATGTGGCTGCAATCGCATATGCACCAATAAAAGCAGAGACATATGCATCATCACAAAAAAGCAGCTTTCTCCAGTTTTCCGGTTCTGCCTTACATTCTGTCACAAAACACTCCTACAAACCTGCTGAAGAGGTGTAGGCAGGCCCAAAAGTTCGTTGGACCGTTTCGAGGCTTTTACAACCCCTTCCTAACGGGAGTCTCGAAGAGACTCTCCCTATCAGTTATGTAGGCATACCGATATATTTATGCATATGTTCGATCAAGGTTAGTCCCCAATGCTATGTTTGCGACGATGCCGCGCGTTTTGCTTTTTACTCTGTCGAGTTTCAGCTTTCAGTTTTGGTTCTACACTGCATCTCATGACTATAACACCACCGAATAAATTCCCAAAATCTACAAATTAAGAAGTTTCAGAAGTCTTCAATGAGACAATGTGTTGAATATAGATGCAACACTGCTTATGAACACCATCTTCTCAGACCACAGTTTTTTCTTCAGAAAAATGTGAATAGGCCACTCAATCCATGTCCCAAAATTAATTTTTGCAACCTATAAACCAATCCTTGTTAGAAACCCGTGAGGTCCCAGGGTGCTGAGATCATGCATGCGGAAAACAGTATGACGCTATGAAGAAATTTATCACTTCCAAGCTTCGGGCAGGTCTTTCTTCATTGCCTAGATTGAGCGGTGTTCTTTAGAGCAGGTTTTGCTCTCCAAGAAAGACCATGCGGATCATTCCATTGGTTTCAAGTGGGTGCCATACGATGGCCATTCGCTAGCGTGGGGGTGATGGGTGTCTGTACCACGCTGTGAAAACCGTAAGCACCATTGCCCAAACAATGGCTTTCTCGGGAAGTCTAGAGCGTTCATGGATTCTACCTTTCACGTTAGCAACTCCAATTGCTCAGCAAAGCACCCGATTATTCTGACGATTGAAGATTGACTCCAACAAGAACACATCCCCATCGAAAAAAAAAACAATCTCAGCGGCGCGCCAACGTTAACGAGGAACTGGGTCTCGAAGAGCACCTCGCACTTCGAGACCCAATTCCTCTTGGAAGATGCACCTGAAAATGGGCCTTTTGGCACTGATGAGGCCTAACTCCAAGCTTCTCAAAGGCAACGATATGATGAGGTATGACCGCTTCCTAACTTTTCGTCAATATTCCCTAGTGGTTCTCCCGAAATGCATCTTACCATGTCTCAAAGCGCCTCAATGTTTTTCATGAAAGTTGCGGCTGTTCTTTTCTCTCTCCATGGGCCATCTTGCGTAGCTTTGAGATTCTTGAACCATTGAGAGTAAAAATCACATTCCTTCTGTCTACAGAAGAGTTCTGGCGTTTGATTCTGAGCGGCCAAACTGGCACACCGAATGATCGCGGATGGAGGACAATAAGGCCTGATAATTTCGCAAAAAACAAGAACCGAACCTATGACTGAAAATGCCTTTGGAGAACGAAGTACTTAAGAGGTTGGTGGCTACTTGATAAGTTATGTTTACAAAAAATCAATGTGTTGAACTCTGCATTTTTGAGCAAGTCATTCTGGCGCACCCTGTAGTTTTCCCGACCTGTGAGTATTCCTTTTTTCACTATTTCTTTTACTGCTCGTCCTATTTTTCACCGTAGTGGCTTTGATATGTCCTACATTGTTGGGCACGATTTAAATTCTTGAACTTTTCAACTTTTCTTAACATATTGTGCCTCCAAAGATGTACGTAAACCAATAAAGGGGAGCGGTTGAATCAGAAAACAGCGGCTCCCCACCTTCTTCACGATTTGGGGCGTGGCCATGACAAACCTGCGGCGTTCGCGGCCGAATGGTGCGACATCAGCTTGCCTGAGTATTCGACGTTACATTACGTGTTAGTTTATCCGATCGTAGGGACACGTAATGTAACGTCGGATACTCAGGCGAGCTGATGCCGCACTACTCGGCCGCGCAAATCGTGAAGAAAGTGGGGGAGCCATTTCTCACGAGGGAAGGTTATCAGGCCGGTCCGGCCATTTGTAATGAGTCGTACACCGTTGACGTCGCCTCGAGGCGCTGAGCTCAGAACTGCCTTCCTTATCTGCTAAACGATTCTCTGAACGTAGTTATAAAGCAAGGAAGCGCAGTGGCTGTGTCTAGAACTCGCGAGCAAGAGATCGTGGGAACGATTTCTCGGAGAGTCTGTTTCTTTTGTGCATCGTGAAGATGTAGCTAGAAAGCCTCTAACTTCTTAATTCATCAACTTTGCCATTAGTTCCCTGTACAAAAAAAAATTTCGAGCAGTTCCCTGCAGGTTTGGGCAGTAGCCGTCCATGTATGAACATGGTGCCCGTAATGCACGTGTCAGGCTTTTTCGCGGCAAACAGGCGGATATTCGTGTTTAGGAGGTCAAACTACCCTTGGAGATAAGTTTCCTACCGAATCTGAAATTTTGACCCAACCCTAAAAAATGAGGTGAATCAACCATCATGTCATCAACCTATCGTTGAACTCTTGGCATGGGAATCGCCCTTCCAACCAAGATTTTGAAAGGAGAAACGTTTAACGGCTCACATTCCCGCATAACGGAAATGATTTACATGACTCTGCATCAAAATTCAGGGAAAGTGCTTTTCCAATTAGTTTTCGATCCATACGTTCTCTTGTTTGACTGTATGTTGAGCCCTCTCTCGAGTGTGGGTCAAAATCTCAGATTCAGCTGGAAACTTGTAATCAGGGGAAATTCGGTCTCCTGAACACAAATATCACACTCGTTTACCGCAAAAACACCTTATCAGTGGGCTATGAGCGTCGTTTTCAGTCATGGCAAATATTAATTAAATAATAGCTCTCAACCTGCGACGGGGTGCTCGCTAACTCCTTACCAGGCAGGTAAAGGCAGGCATTGAGGAGACACTGTCGCTAAAAGCCTTTCTGGTAATGTTTTCAAAAAGGCAAAACAACAAACATCACGAGAGACCGATCCCATGACCTCTCGCCTGCAAGTCTGAAGCGTTACCACTTACGCCACGTCAACCACGATGTACGACTTCCGGCTTGGTTTATAGAAGCGACTCCAATGATAGCCGAATTCGCGGTGGACCCACAGTGTCGCATGTTATGGACTTGTTTAGGATGACCCCTTTTACTCTGCGCACTCCAAGACGGGAGCCACAATGTGAATATAGGCGTCAACTGTGCGGAGCACCATCACTGTAGAAGCAAAAAATTGACGTGGTTCAAAGGACCTCGTTCGAATAGACCGTTCAGAAGAGTTTTGAAACTTGCGATATGAAATGTGCCCTTTCCAAATATGTATACGCCGAAATCGTTACGTTCTACATAATTCCTGAAAGTACTGCAAAGGTTTAAGCTGAATCAAAACTCTGAACCAGAAACACTTGCTGAATGATTGCTTTTGACATTTCTGCATTACGTGTGCCTGACCCTGGCATTTTTTTGTTTCACTTCTTTCTTTCCTTTGCTGCTGTGTTCATTTAGCCGTTGCGTACCGCGGTGCTTCTTTGCTGGCGGGCGGCGCCCGTTTGGCCGACGTCATAGTTTGCGAATGCGACGATCCGAGCGTTGCGCCAGTGAATCGAACGTTGGACAACGAATCAAAATTTGCACCAGCGAATCGACCGATGCACCGGCGAGTCGCACTAGGTACCAGCGACTCAATAGTGACGGGACCCAACGTTAAAAGGAAGCCCGCCACTTTCGAACAGTGTCACGTGACAGTGGATATTGTTTGAAAGTGGCGGGCTTCCTCTGAACGTTTGGTCCCGCCACTATTGAGTCGCTGGTACCTAGTTCGACTCGCTGGTGCATCGGTCGATTCGCTGGTGCAAAGTTTGATTCGCTGGCGCAACGCTCGTATCGAGTGATTCGCTAGCGAATCGCTCGATTCGCAAACTATGACGCCGGCCTTACACTCGCCGCCGCGTACTGTGCGACGAATATAAATACTTTATTTATATCTGTTCATGGCTTATATAAGCACATTACATATGTCGTGTATATTTGCAATACATTATGCGTAATTTTGATCACTGGGTTTGTTTGTTATCACATGCGAAAGGAAGAAAGGTGGTCGAAAGTACGGGAAGAATTGAAAATGTCCATTGAAGACTAAAAGTCAGAAAATAGGGCAAGAATATGGAAAAAGCCTATACTATTGCTTCAAAGATTCGATGTCATGGCACAGGCAGTATTTCTCTTTTACAACTAATAAACATTAATCAAGTGACTG